GCCCTTCGCGAGGATGCTCATTGAGAACACAACCAAGCTGGTGGCTGAGGCTGTGGAGGAGTTCTTTGGGACGAAGCTGGCCGCCACGGAAACTTGCAACGGTGAGGAGCAGGGATTGCCGAGGCTGATTGACGTTCCAAGCTTCGGGCTGGTTGTCTGTCTCGTCTGAGAATGGTTCCCTAATCGCATCTGTGGTTGTTTTCGGGCTGGCGTCTATGGGCAGCTTGCGCATCGTGTGCAATCCTTGCCAGAGTGACTCACCTTTGAAGAATCTTCCAACGAATCACCTGAAGACACCGTGCTTTTTGCATTACTAGATCCTTAAGAGAATGACCTTTCAAGTATTTCTGCTTACTTAAGGCTTGCTATTCAGGCTGAGCCAAAGGGATTGCCTCGGTTCAATCCTGAGTTTCTCTTTGTCCGCTCTAACGAGCCCCGTCCTTTCAACTCTTTCGTCACGGACCTGAACGTTCAATCTATGTATCTCTTTAACAATCTATCCTTGTTGCGTTCCTCCTGTCTCTTTTTCGCCTGCTGTAACAGGAGCCCGCTCTTCGCTTGCCTTCATCATATGAATCTCGTCAAACCCTTCTTTTAATCAGTTCTTTTCTGTCTTGCAGCAAGCCTGGCCGACGGTGTTGCCACAATCGTCAAGACCGCCACCGACAAAGTGACGGCGTTTGCTGAGGAGCCAACTGAGAGCAAGATCAGGGAGGCGTTCGTGAGTCATCCCGCCCTCGAGCCGCTTGACTTCTTGTTACCTTCTCAGAACTCAGCTTAGCTCGTTCTTCCGCACAGTCTCGTCGTCTAACCACAAGTCTCTATCAAGGTAACACTACCGCTTCTGCGAGGCGGTTTTGGGGAGCTTGAAACGGAAAAATAGTCGGGACTCTCAAATCTCTCGAGAATTGCAATACGCACAGCCTTTAGCTTTTTATTGCTGACGTAATCGTCGTTGCCTTCACTGCTGTGCTCTCCCTTTCGCTTGAGGTCACCAAAATCTCGATTTCCACGATCAATTCCTGTCACATGATCACCATTTAAAGTCGTGTGTTCACCTGAACGCCCCACACAGAAACCTCGACCGACCTTGCTTAATGTCTTGCACTCGTGCTAGCGCTGGAATCACGCAACAAATCCACCGATAATCTTGCTGACGTCATGCTGACGTGTCCTTCACGCAGGCCAACTTCACGAAGGAGTATCCCAAGCTGGCCGGCCTCTCCGCCATCGCCGATGCTCACGTCATGCCCGTCAAGCTGGCGTACCTGCGGAGCCTCGTCAGCGGGGCGTGCTACAACGACTCCAGCAAGGTGAGGACGTCACACTTTCACAATGACGTCACGTTTTCTTGGACTCCACCTGCGTTGTCAATTCCTTTTTGGATATGGTATTACCCTAATTCTGTGCATCGTCGCTCAATTATGTTACTTGTTGTACGTTGGCTTTCTAGATGCTCTGCAATGCCGAGAGGAATCAAATCAACAAGATGACAAAAGCAGATATTGAGTTTTATTGATGCATTAAGCCCATGATCCAGACTGCCCCGTTACGCCTCAATCCCTCTTTTTCCATGCATGACAATCTCGATTGCTATTTCCCCGTCAAACCAGAAGCTCAAAAATTATTCCCCACTCACGAGCCCACTGCTTCTCAGACCCACAACCTTCGAGACACGTCTCGGCCGATAACACCAGCAAAAGTGTCTCGGCCGATAAGATCACCAGAAGTTTCCAACCGGCAAAATCCCAAACTCCCAAACGATAACTAAAAACTCTAAATTCCCAAACTCCTTCTTGCAGACGATGCTGAAGCTGTTTGCCATCGAGGGCGCCGTCGACCGCTTCTTCCTGCCCGCCGTCTTTCGCGCGCTCCTCCCCCCCCCTCCTTTTGGGCCCCACGGACCCCCCCACCACGGTCCACATCACCATCACCACCCCCACGGCCCTCCCAGAGACGATGACGACGAAGATGACGTCACTGATGATGACGATAACGAAGGTGTTAACTGGGACGACTCCGCCTGCGACGACGAGGACGGTGACGTCAGCGTGGATGACGTGGCGCCGAAGGGAGCGGACAGCTGGATTGACCCGCGCTGGCTGGAGAGCGGAGCGCCCGTCGAGAAGAAGTGCCCGCACCGGAAGCCGGACCCCGAGAAGCTCAAGAGTGAGCGACCGATCTATATAGAATTTTCAGATATCTTCCAGGCCCCTGAGTCCGGTTACGAAGTTCGGAACGCCGGATTATGAATATTTCTGGAGACGACAAGTCGCTGCGCTGTGACGTCGGTGCTTCTGACGAACGAAATAGAACCTCAAGGAGGAGCTTCTGAAGGCGGCTGTTTCCAACAGCCTATTTTGTCAACGGACACGTTTCTCTCGTGCATGGCCGAGGGGTGCGGCGTCGCTTTCTTTGAAATCTTTGATTCCTTTCCTTGTTCCATATCTGGCTGACGTACTGCTCACACGGTTCTTGGTTGACCTCAATCCGCAAAGAGATTGATTATGAATCACGCTAGATTATCAGGTTGTTTAACCCCTCATTCTCCTAACCCGTATTCTCTGCTCTATGTTCCAGAATGCGTCGCTACTAACCTGGAGCTGTCCCGCGCGGTGGTTAAGAAGGCGGCCTTCATGCTGTGCAACGGGCCGAAGCCCCCCCACATTCAGAAGATCGTTGCGGAAGTGGTAAGGCCATTGATTCTACGGGACCTTTTTTTGACGGCGGCCGACTCTTACTTGTGCGTCCTTCCGCTTGTTTTCTTCCTTTCTTTTAAGACAGTCTGATTCGAAAAATACTCTCAAAATTTGCTACGAGAAACTTCGGCAATCCCCAATGTTCGATTCAAAAAGGTATCGGAACCCTGTCCTGGTCTCTGCCAGTCACTCATCCGTACCGTTTTGACCTTTTGTCTGTTGCCACTTTCGCCTGCCAGTCAAAGGCCCGGGACGCTTGATCTTTGTCCGTCGCTAATTTGCCTCACCGAATCTGCAAAGAATACAGACCTGAACACGACACCAGTTCCAATCCTTTCCAAAAGTGGCTCGTATCAAGGAGCGTTGAGAATTGCGCAGACCTGGCAACTCCAGCTAAGATCCAACCGTAAATGAAGACTGGTCGACATACCGGCAAAAGAAGCCTGCTAAAGCTGACGCCAACCGTTTGCAGTGCGGGTTTGCGGAAGAGAACAAGGAACTGGTTCGCACCACGGTTCTGCTGCGCCTCCAGCCGTGGAAGATCGCCATCGGCGCCTGCCTCCCTCCCCCCCCTCACCACGGGCCCCACGGACCCCCTCACGGACCCCCCCACGACGATGGGCCCGAGGGGCCCCCCGTCAAACCACCTCACGGCGGACCCCCCCATGACGGTCCTGAGGATGAAGAGGAGACGAAGGTAAACACAGCGATCCTTGGAAGAATCCGTGAGTAATGGAAGCCAAATTGAGAGATCAGCTTGACTTTGTTCTCAAAACTTTAAGCGTCTAGTGTCAACAACCTTTTTCATTGTAGAACTTTGCGGGCTTTGCTTATGCGACAGATTTCGCCAGGGTCAAGCGAACCTAGCAGGTTCCATGTTCTCGAAGATTTGGCAGCATTTCACGAATCGCATCTTTTGTCAGGAACCACTTTCGAAACTGGGAACGGAAGGCTGCACAACTCAACGTACAACACAAAGGCTGGAAAGCTCCAAGAAAGTCGACGAGCTCGAAGTCGTTGAGACGGGTCATCTATAAAGCGACGTTTGAGCGTGATAACTGATCTCTTTCGCCTTCTGCAGGTGTATTCCTTTCCTGACGTCTTCGAAGGATCCAACGTGGCGGAAGAGATTGCGCCGTAGTTATGCTCACCATGATTGCTCGATGACCGGCAGTGCTAGCCAGCTAGTGACGCGATATCGATGCTTTAGCGCCTACAATGTAACTACTTACTTCTTACTACGCTGCTGACGAATGGAGATGATCCGTCTAGTGTAATCTATGTATGCCGTTTTTGTCTGCTTTGAATAGTCCATGTAGCGGACGAAGCAGATCAACCAGGCAAGCCTAGCTTGTACCACTTTTTGAGTTTGCAAAGGAGACGCTTGATACGTAGGAAGAAACGTAAACGAACCTGGTACGAGGTACACATACAAATGTACAGAATGGAGTGACTTCAGTGCTTTGAAAGGAAGAAGACACATATGTCTTCATTTTCTACCTCACACAAATTGATACCAGATGTGTATCTTCGTGTGTTCATGTGCACTGGCAGGTGCTTTGCTAGAAAAGTGGCCGATCCAATGATCGATCTGGCCCAATTTGAATGATGGTCGCCTGCACAGGATGCACTGCATGAATCCATTCATGCATCCTGCATATCGCTTATGCACCCCACATCAATGGCTGCATGTGATCAATGTAACATCGACGGCTTCAGATGCACTGTCTTAGAACCGTCCGATCCCGTCTTTCGTTCAAGACTCGCCTTGCACCGTCAGATATTAGCATATGATTCCCTAAAATGTGCGTGCCAGACTCAGCCATGGGCCTGAGTTCGGCAAGCCCATGTCAATGTTATCGTCATTCTAAATCTGAGCTGGCGCCTTCAAGAATCAAGTTCAAGTTAGCGGCATTGCAATGGGTTCGTTGCATTTTGATTCTGTCACGGTGGCGTCTACAATGAATGTGCACCTGAACGAGCTAAGCACTTAGGTTCCTGAAATAATTTCCAGCACAATGTGAGCAGGTGTTAGATCGCCAACAAGAGAAAGAAACACGCTGTTTTGGCAGTTTTGCCGACTTTCTGGGGGGCTTTGGGCCGGATCTCCTCCAGCTGAAGTATAGGATTCCCTCTAGGTTCGGAAGAGAATTCTTTTCAGTGCCAACGATCCCATTACGAAGACCAGCACCCAAACATTTGACCGCCAACTTCGGGGACGTGCTTGGCACAGACTTGGTCAGCGTGATCCTTGCGGTGAGAAGCCAGAGCGACTTGCACATCTCTTTGGAGGAACTTTGAGAAGCTCAGGTCTGCTTGGATGCTGATCAGAGAATCGAGGCCGTCTTCCGGAGAGTGCCTGCGATCAGTTGGATGCAAGCACAGGCAGCGTGAAACTTTGCAGCGCTGCTGCTCTGGTAAACGATTCAGCTCAGCTAGCCTGACATTGTTGTGTTGAGCCAGGATATCAACAAAAGTCTGTGCTCAAAAGATCCCAAGGAAGCTCCTTCAGACTCTGTCGGGGCTTTCGTTCCTGATCACCTCACACTTCGGACTGGCACTGGCACACCTTATCCTGCCCACCCTTCTAAGCAGCGTTTTACATGATTTTGAGGTCTTCAGCCAAAGCGCGCCAGAACTCGTGTTTGCAGCAGGTTCAGCGTTTCCCCAGAAGGAGGAATCTCTTGAATGCTTCAACCAGGAACTTTCTGCAATTGACCCGCAGTTTTAAGCGACTCTTGTGAAAGGTGCTTCATGTGTAACTGAGCTCATTGGCTGCGACGTATCAGAAGGACAGGCCAAAGGCTTGGACTCTAGCTTCAAGACTGGTTGAAGGAAAAGTTTGTCTTATTCAGCAAGGAGTGAAGGCAGAGGGGGAAGGTGCTGAAAAAATGGTTCAAACCTGGTAAAAATTGGGGAAGGCGCGTATTTGATTCTGGGGCTGAAATATTGGCGGAGTTGTTTGCTTCAAAGCTCCAATTAGGCCCCACTTTGATCCTGTCTCCAATACAGGCTACGTCTAGGCAGATCTCGACCTAGATCAAGATCCCACATTGGTTGATATAGAGTCACCTTCGGGAAGCTGAAAATGTAGTCCAATCACCCTTGAGCAACACTTGTTCAATTTAGAAATCGCTCAAGCTCCTGAACAAGGCTTCTATGTCTGCTTGTTGTTCCCTTGTATTCCTCCAAGGAAGCGGAAGCCTGGTCTTTTGCCCCCAACGATTGTTCTCCATACCAGAAGAAGAGCCTTCGTTGATTAAAGACACCTGAAGGCAGTGAGCCCTTGTGAACCGCATGGCCCCCTGAGACATACTCAACCATCCAACCTCAAACCTGTCCTGCTGACCTAGGAGTTACCACTGACCTTTCATTCCACAATTTCTGTCTTTTCGGAAGCAATTCATCTAACCCTGGGCCTGACGACTCTCTTATTTCAGAGGATGACCATCTGGTTGTTTGGTTATGGCTCCCTCATCTGGCGACCAAACTTCAAGTACGACAGGAAAGTGGACGGCTACATCAAGGATTGGGCGCGCGTGTTCTACCAAGGTACATTTTTGTGTCTTGTCAGCAACACTGTGTCAAAGAATCAAGTACTTGTGGACTCTGCTTGGTTGCATCCACGGCTTCGTATGGACCTTCTACTAAGGGTGGATTTTACACAGTCTGAGTGGCAGAACTCTTGCAGATCGACTGAAGATTCTCTTTTCAGTAACGACAAAAGCCGATCAGTAGCACGCCTCGGTGTTCTTTCTAATCAGAACACCAACTTGGATCGATCTGGTTGCTCGGTGACCTCAATGACTTTGAAAATACGTGCCTCTGTGCCCCTTGTGGGCGACTTTCTTTGGTCTTTTGCTTCCAGTGTGCATCGTTCGTAAGACATCAACACCGCTGACATCTGTGTTGGGTTATCGCCAAACCTTTACAACCCAGTCAGTCATGTGGTAAGGGCACGATCTGAAAAACCGAAGTGCGATTGCGTTGCAGGGAGTACCGACCACAGGGGAACGCCAGGCGCTCCTGGGAGAACGGTCACTCTGGAGGCGCAAAAAGGGGCGGTTACGGTAAGTAACCTGCGGGTTAGGGAAAGAAATATGGGTTTGCGCAGGCATACCGTGTCAGGTCAGAGAATACTTACGATGATGTTTCCAGACTCCATCAAATGGAGGATGTCGCAGTCTGTTCTTTAGAGGTGCTCGATGACACACTTGTATCGTCGCTGATGAAGCAGTCGCCACGTCAAAGAACCGTCTCGTTGACTAAGTGCTGCTTATACAACGCTCTGTTAGTTTCATGCTTCTGCTGTTATGAGGGCTGCAGTAGCGGTGCATCCAACATCTCTTGCAAGCTTTCCAAAAGAAATTGTTTGGAGATCTTCCGCGGAGGCCAGCATGACGCGTGCTAGCGTCTGACATCACTCGTACTAAAGTCAGACGCTGGGACGCGTATTGATACCTTCGGGCTTCCTTTAGTTGTCCTCGCACCCTCCTTAAGGATCCAATGGATCTCTTGGTCAGCCGTCTATTTGTGTTACATAGTTTAACACAAACTATCTGGTGACTGCACCAATTAGGACTCATAACGTTATGTTTTTTGTTTCATGCAGTGGGGCACTGCGTACTGTATAGAAGATCAACAAGAGGCGGACCTCACTCTCTCTGTAAGTGGAAAATACCGCATGAGCTTCTTATAACCGACGATTGCTGTTTTCGCGCTTGGATTCTTGCAACAGAGGGGCTTCCTACAAGCTACGACTGCAAAGTATTATACTCGTCGAGCACGGCAAAGCTCCAGATTTGCTAGCTCCGCTTCGCACTCCCTGTAATCATATCTGAAAACTATACTGAGCGCTAGTTTCAGGTTACGAGCCTTGCATTCGAGGAAAATCCGACTTTACCCCGTGTACCAACGTCTATTTGAACAGGCTATGAACCGTCCTTATTCTGCTCGTACATCTTCTCTCCCGCAAGTAACCAGTCCACTGTACTTTTCAAAAGTCCTTAACCGGCTTCTTAACCCGCCTCTTGACCTGCTCGCAGTACCTGGAAGTGCGGGAGAAGCAGTACGATGTCCGGGCGAAGGTCGATCTCTTCACCCTCGAGTCGGAAACTGTCCCTGCCGTGTCCGGCGTCTTAGTGTGAGCTCCTTTCAGTTACCCTCGTTTTCTCCTCTCACTCCTTTCGCCGCCTCTCATAGGAAGTCAGAAGTGCCATCGTAATGGCGTGGTCGCTCTGACAATGTCTTTCTTGTTTGCCTCGCCTGCTTTCCAGTAGGATCGTCGTTTCCGTGTTAACCCCATTTCGTGATGTGCTAAAACAAATCCCGATTGTTGGTACAATTGCCATTCGCAGGACTCGTTCTACGTGCACTTTCCGGTTGTCTGCTTCGCTTGAGCTGCCGTTTCAGTTGTGATGCGGGTACTTTCTTTCCCTGTTGTTGCGTCGTTCTTTGTCTGCAGATCTATCATATGATCTTTCCATGTTTCTTTTTCTTTCCGGGCTTCTCCATTCTTCTCCCGCCAAGAGCCCCGCGTTAGCGTCGTTTGTATTCGCACCCTCTGGCCCGCTCTTGATATAGGACAAATCGACCACGGTCGTCAGGATCTTCCGGTGCCATCATTCGTGCTTCTCTCCAAGGGCTGTATTCTACCATTGTTTGCATGGCATTGTACCGTGGGCTCACAACAGAAGCACTTCGTTGGTTAGCTTATCATATTTCATGCTTTCTTCTTCCTCAGGTACATAGCCTCTCCTAACAAAGTCTCTAACCAGAACTACCTGGGGCCTGCCCCCTTGGAAGAGATCGCTAAGCAGATTGCGAAAGCAAGAGGCCCCTCCGGGCCCAATTACGAGTACCTCTTCAGGCTGGAAGAGGCCCTGTTACGGCTCGGTAAGCCGCCGTCCGGGCCTTTTCTGTACATGCGCAAGGCTGCTTGAGTAAAATTACGAGGGCCGCTTCGTTGAGTATTTTGCGAGCACCCAAAACGGAGCAGATTGCGCGCAAGAACGTTTCGAATCATCGACTTTGTTTTTGTCAGTGCAACCTGTCAGTGCAAGCGGCAGTCGCCATCTCACGTCTGCCTAAAGTGTTCATGTTTCGTGACAAGAAGCTCGACAAGAAGCGGTTGTTACTCAAGGCAAAAGAGATCAGCAATGAGTGCGTCACGTTTCGCTTCTGGACCAGTTCCAATTCGTGCAAGACATGCGAACTTCAGGCGGAAAGGGAGATCTGTAGTGTACAAATGGTTTGATCCAAACCTGACCGTCATATACTGCTCTTCCGTAATTTTCAGCGTACCACCTAGTCAGATCGATTCCAAATTCAGTCAGCTCCATGCTCCAATTGCTTTCGTCACCAGTCATGAAGTCGAGTTGTCAGTGACAAACTGCTTACTTGGCGTCCAGCTTTTGTTTCTTTTTGAAACTTTTCAGTGATCCTTGCTCAGTAACCAAGAATACTTGTCACCGCTCTGATTGGACGCTCCTTCACAGGTGTTGTGGACGACCATGTGGTTGGGTTATCGAAGCTGACGAGGGAGATCATGGGTTGCTAACGTGACTAATCATGGGTTGCTATTTGTGCTTAAGCTCGACCGATAAAATTAGAAACCTAGCCAAGTTGCGTGATGTGGCTTTGTGGTGGCTATGGGGATTGTAAGTTTGGGCGCCGTCAAAGCTTATGACGCTTATGGTGATTGGGTAGTTCTCCAGAAGTAGGGCCAAATTGGCCTAACCGTACTGATCTACACAAGATGCCAGGGCGGGTTGTCAAAACGAATAACTTGGTCTATGTTGAACTGTTTGCCTCGATATCACGAAGTCCAGGCAAACCAGCAAGCAGGCCATTGTACCGGAATTGGCATAATCAAGCCTTTGACGGCTCTCCAGTTACCGTAATGGGTTACAGACGTTTGCAGAACTGAGACTTCCGGCTGGTAATCCTATCAACATTGATGACATCAATCGGAATCCTGGCCCCCTGGCCCCAGGCTGGCTCCGATGATCCGCGGCCGATACAAAGTAAGCCTGATGCAGACTGCATGCGTCAGTGCGCAACTTATACTGAAGCCTGGAAGTTCACTATTTTGGCAGCCGCCTAGGCCGGCCGACAGGCTGGAGCTGCAGTGCGTCACCAGTGAGCAAACATAAGTCACAACCGTCGATTCGAATCCCGTGACATCATCAGCGGCCGCGGGCCGCCACAAATTCGGGGGCCCGGGCGGGCGGCCGGCGTCGCGCCTTTGTGAACCAGCAGCAGTGACGTCATTTGCTCATGATAGCAAGCTGGCCATCGATCACGTTGTTCGTGGCGGTGACAATGACAACTGGAAAGGAGATACTGTCAAGACGGATACGTGGGCAGAGAATGAACAACCTCTTACTTGTGTCTTTAATCATGCGACACGTGGCCCGTGCCTGGAGGCATGGTTTTCGGAATCCGCGGCCTCAGTCGCGGGCGGCTTCTTCGTGCATATTAGCGAAGATGGCATCCATGATCCTATAATCTCCAAATGAAGCCGAGTGAATCGAATCCAAATCACACTGCTTTAGGGTGCGCGTCGACCGAGGTCCGAAACGCTGCAATTAAAAACCTTTCCAGATTTCTTCTAGCCAATCGGATGGCGTTTGAGATCCATGTGGACACCAGAGGTACATACCAGACAGCTGATATGTCCTGAAAAGTACCGTACCTCCCACTTTTCGGTACAAGCTACAAAGGCAAGACTGGAGGCCAAGTAGGTTTTCGGTCAACGCGCAACCTTATTCGAGAAAGTAGACGACGTCGTATTTGAAATCTAGAAAACCTCCATAAAAGAACCCGGCCACAAATGCCTTTCGAGCGCGTATGATCTAAGATTCAGCTGCATATATAATTCTCTATGCTCTTTTCGGAGTTCGGTACATACTACCGGTACACACTACATAGTCCTCCTCCCGGGCCTGACCCAGGTTCAACCAAGCCTCTGGTCAACGGAAGCTAGTTCGAGCCTCGGGGGTGGGTCCTTCTGCGGAGAACAACATATTTTGGGTTGAGTTAAATTGGAGAAATTGGGTTAAGATTATGTTTCCAGTGGACAACGCAAACCGAGTTAAGGATCAACCGGGCGGCGGAAGTATCCTAACTGCTCAGGCGGCTGCAGCCCGCGGCACCCTTCCGAACTAATCTCGAATTATTCGGAATGGAACTCCAGTTCGCGAATCATGATCTGATCGAGCTCGTCATGGAGCAATGAGCAGGTTGTTTGACCCCGCGTCACTGCTCTCAAGAAGGGCAACAGCCTTGTGAGAATGAGGCGTGTTTTGTGAGCTGAGCAGGGCGTTCCTCGTGTTGTTTTGAAGTTGAAGGTGATATCGACCTGTTTACCCCCTGTGATACCGTTTCTAGCATGCGTTTGAGAAGGTTCTCCTCAAAGATGCTGTGAACCTTCGGAGTGAGGAGTTTTTGAAGGTCAGCTAGGCAATGGTAAGCACTTGAGAGACTCCTGAACAGCTAGGGCGTACGGCGTACTGGTAGTTGCAGGGCAATGTGTATGTGGTACACTGGTGGTCTGGGAGTAGGACATCATCGTAAATGAGGGAGTACTCCTGGCTGACAAGCATCGTTGTGCTGCTATGCCCGCTGTCCTGAGCTCAGATGCTGGATCACAACACCCATTTCAAGTATGGCCGCTTAGGAAGGTGAAGGTTAAGGAGTACAAGCATTGCAGACGGTAGATCCAGAAGGGTTTTTAAGGTTATACCAGGTCAGCAGGTCCCCGGCTAGGAAGCTCATCAGGTGCTTATTTTCAGCTGGTCGCAATGTTTCAGAGGAGCACTTTCTGAGGTTTGGGGAGATGTTTTTTCGTCGAGATGGCCCTGTCGGGGGTCACCGCGCCCCCTCAGAGGCCAAGGATGTTACATCAGAGCTCGATCCGGAAGGGTCTCCTAGGGAGCGGCCAGAGAGGAAGAAGGTCTCAAGCGTGCTTTTTGTTCGCTCCGCAATTATGGTGAGTGTGGAGCCTTGGCATTTGGTGTTCGTACTGTTGCCTTTTTGGACAAGGACAAGTTGTCCAAGTTCCGGCACATCTGGGTTTTCATCTTTTTGAACCAGGGCCTGTTCTGGTTTTGACTCCCAAGAGAGAGTGCATTGAATGGATCTTTAGAGCCTGTGAAAGTGCGATGCTGTGCCCCATGCTTTTTTGTATCTTTGCCGAGCAGAGGTAATGATGTTGAAAGGTATCAGCTTGGTTACATGGGAGTCGCTTCTGCACAAGAGTCCCCTCGTCTGTGGACCGAGTATGCCTGAAGTTCCATCTTCTCAACTTTGGATCGTGTGTGAGATGGAAGCTTTGCATAATATCGGAGCTTGTTACACTCCTGTCCAACGGCTTGAGATTGCAAAGCAAACTAACTGCACGGGTCTGGTTTGCAAGCAGAGCTCTCCAATAACTCTCCAAATAGTGCTTGCTTCGTTTTCTTGCACCGTTGCTTGCTTGTCCATTGCCTTGCTTCAAGCATCAGACACAACGTTACACTGGTTGGAGCACATATTAGGACCCTTCGTTAGCTGCACATGCTCCTTATGCTACTCTCTGTTGGTAAGCCCTCCGCTTCCATCTAGGGTTGGGATTAATAAGGTTGCGCAATGGCCATGTATCATCAGCGACTAAGGTGCCCCACTACTCGATTTTTGAGTAAGCTGCTGGTTTGCTCTTCAGAGGTCTAAGAGAGTATTAGTCGTTCTGGCAGTGGCAGAAGCTCTCGTCTCAATAGGGGGTCCAATACCTTACTCTGGTCGGTTAGCAGCACACTTGTGGTTGGTAGGATTACGAGGTCCCCATTATCAAGCAACGCTGCTGCCCTTCCAGATTAAAAGCAGGACAATATGCCTGCAATTTTCTGTGCAACATTTTGACTTGGGATTACGACGCTGCCTCTACGGCATCTTCTGCACCCTCTCCTTTTTCTCCCAGATACGATCCGGAGAAGAAGCATATGTTGTCACAGCACCTTTCACTCGCGTCTGGCAATCCACGGTCATCGTATGGCAATCATGATTGCGTCAAGCTGCTTTTGGAAATTGCATGTTTCATTGCTGGTTCTGGCAGAATTTGCATCGCCTTGTGCTCTGATTTGCTTGTGCAACCCTGCTGTTTCTGACAGTTGTTTCTAAAACCCTCCAGTCTAACGAGCTCGTGTAAATCTCTTCCAGGCGATGCTGGCTATCTTCCTGGCGGCCGTTGCGCTCGTCGCTTTCTTCTTGGCAAAGGACAGCCTTACCAGCCAGGTGGACCGGTTAGGCTCCCTGGTTAGGAGCGGTATTCTTAACCGCACCGTGGAGCGGCTCAACGTGCAACTAGACGAGGGGGGCCGCTGTGTGACCACGCTTGAGACGGTCCTCGTCAGCGTCTGGACTCAGCAGAATGTCAGCACGCAGCTCCAGAAGGTGGGTCCTAATCTTGAACTGCTCTGCTGTAAATGTTCTTCGGGACTGATAAACAACAGAGAGCAATATCTCAGTGGGCCACACTTGCTTTCTTGTTCAAGGCTGGCGCAAGTGTTGGCCCATTTGGAGTTGGGAAGAGACCAAACATAGTAGACGTTCTGGGGTGGGGGCTATGTGGGGGGTTTGTGTGGGGTTGCACATGCCTCTTAAGATGCACATGCCTCGGATGTCATATTATTGTACATTTTACCATCAATTGTACATTTTGAGTTGGCATTTCTGTATGATGGTCAGCGAGGGCTGGAAATTGAGGGGTTGTGCTGGGCCTGGGGAAAGAGTACGAGGGCTGGTGGGGTGCTGTTCTGGTCCATTTGAGGAGGCGCTCATTAGTAGGTGCCAGTTCTTCTACCTTGCAGCAAAGTGTAGGCATAGGTTCGCAGCGGCTGACTGTGATCGCAGAAGAGCAAAGCGTCGTTAGTTTCCTGGGAGAGCAAAGTGAGGCGATTCAGGGACAAGGAAAAGGCAGAATGCGCAAGGGGGCTCGGGGGGGAAATTGTGGTTGAGGAAGGGGATACATACCCGTACTGGTGCACAAGTTAGCAAACATGAGGGGATTTTGCAGGGGTAACAAGGGCAGGCAGCATCTCTGGTTTTCGCTCCGCTATTCAGTGAACCAGCTACAGAAGTATCTCAAAGTAAGGGTTTCACTTTGCAGTGTAGACTCCCTTTCCCCTGAAAGAGTGGCTTCTGGGGTTTCTAGGCACCCTTTCCTGATGGAGCTCAGGTTTGCTGAAGAACCTCTCGTTGTTCGTACCTCAAGGCTGAGCACTTGGGGACCTGTCGACCCCTCCTGAAACGATTGCAGTCTTTCACCCTATCATGTGCCCCGTCTGTCTTTTTGCAAACCCTGGAGGCCTTCTCCCTTCCCGCAGTTGCAAGCAGACGCATCTGCCTGGTTCTCACTCGGCGGCTGTGGCGCCATTTCTGGTACGGGGTGGATCAGGCCCGACGGTACCTACTCCTTCTACCAAGCCCTGCTCGATGACTCCAACGTGGAAGCCACTACCTCCAACATTACCCAATACACGTCCGTCAACGCATCGATCCCCGTCTCCGGGGAATTCACGTCTTACCGCCAGCTGTTAAACGCCACTACCCAAGCCCCCCTGAGCGCCGCAGTGCAGACTTCTCCCCCCATTGACATGCGTGATTACCCATGGTACATCCAAGCGCGAGACTCTACCGACAGGATGGCGTACGTCGTGTTTGTGAACCCGAACGGGCGCCCGGCGCTCATTCAAAGTCGGCGGGTGTTGGATCGCTTCGGCAACTTTCTGGGGGAGGCGTTTGTGATGCAGTATCTGAGCGACCTCAGCACGTATCTGGCGGCCATTCCGCTGGGGGGTGGCTATCTCTACGTCACCAACAAATCAATCATGTTGGCGGACTCTTTTGGCATCCCGATCTTGTTGCAGCAGGACAACTCCACCCTCAATTCCTTAGCCCCGTCCCAAAGTAAAGTTGCCCCAGTGCGCGATGCCGCGAACTTTTTGACGGCAAAGCTGGGGACGTCTCCTGGAAACGTGTCGGCTGCATTCAAGGACGTTCATCTCGGAGGGGGTACTTACTCCCTGGACGTGTTGACCTTCACATACAAAACCCTAACCTTGCGGGCAGTAGTCATCATCCCTCGATCGCTAATCATGGGTTCTATCGACCGGAAAACGCGCATCGCGATTGCGATTATCGTGGGGGTAACGGTGGGGATAACCTTGATCGGGTTTGGGTTAGTGTGCCTGTTTACGGGGCGGGTTAGCCGGGAGTTCCAACTGCGGTTAGCGCTGGTGCAGCAGCTGAATGCGCGGAAGCAGGCGGAGGCGCGCAGCGAGACCAAGAGCAGGTTCCTGGCAAACATGAGGTAAGATATACCTGAGCTTATTTACATTGACCATTTTGGTGCGCTTTAGTCACCCTGTTGTGGTGCAAATACCGCTACATACTGTAGCATGCCCCTGGATTGTCCTCATGCAGACACATAGCACTGAGCACGCGTCGTTGCTTATCTTGGCTTGTTTTGAAGTTACTTGTTCTCGTCCTGGTCCCTTTGAGATGTGGTCGCTCAGTGTCTCTCCCTTTGGAAAGCTTATGAGCATGGTGCACGTTCTACTGTGTGTGTCACATTGATCAGCTTCTTGACACCCGCCTCAGGACTGCAAGGCCCCTCCAAAGCTTTGCATGTGGCACTTTGACTTTGAAACAATTGTTTGAAGGTAAATTCTGCCAAATGACATCATGGATCAGTACACATGTAACAAATCGGAGTATTTTTCTGCTGGGACGCCAGCAAAAGATAGTAATTCGTTGTGCAATTGTGGGCGCCTCTTTATGGTACCCAATTCTTACCTGTCAGACAAGACTAGAGTGCAGAAATATCCTGTATTCAACTCGCAAGGGGAACGCCGTTTTCACTTACAAGAAATGTGAAATGTACTGCTCATATGCAGTCACGAGCTGCGCACGCCAATGGCGGGCATCATTGGGCTGCTGGACATTCTGCTGGCGGACGAGTTGACGGTGGAGCAAGAGCTGAACCTGATCCAGATCAAGCAGTGCGCGACGTCCCTTCTGGGGCTTCTGAACGACGTACTTGATCTGGAAAAGGTAAGTGACCTGAGCGGTGGCTTGTGTGCCTTAACTTCTTTGTGTGTCGTCTTAATCCCTTTGCCCTTTTTCTATTTTCAGGTAAAACGTTAACACATCTGCAGTCGTTTTGTCACTTCTCTTCTTTTAGGTATCAAGTTATCGAACCTGCGGAAGGAGCCTGGTGTCTTCATGACTGAGGGTTAGGATTAGACAAAATGCTCTGGATGTGAGCTCTCTGTCTTTGCTTGTTGTTTCCATCGTGATCCGCGGATTTGCCTGTGTTGTGTTAGTAAGAGTTTCTTTGTCCAGTTCATGAAAGTAGGTCTGTAACTAATGAATGCTTCCAAATCATTTCGTGACACATGTCGCTTGCAGATTGAGGCGGGTAAAATGACGCTGGCTTCGGAGGAGTTTGACCTGGGGGCGGAACTCGAGTCCCTAGTGGATTTGTTTGCCGTACAGTGCTTGGGGAAAGGGATTGAAATCGGTCTGGACCTTCCAGGTATGTGCCAGCCTCAATAGTTGTCGAGGTTGGACCTCCAATTGTGGTTTGGGCGATTATTCTTGATGGAGACTGGAGACTACGGGGGCAGACCGTTCTCTTGTTCACTAAGATTGACAATCTGTCTGCCTCGTCTCGGCAGGGATGGTTTTGTTGTCTTATATCATTGTCAACGTTCCTAACGTCACATTTAATCTGAAATCTGTTTCTCGTTAACTCTTCTGAGAGCGGAAATTCGAAGCTTTTCATGCGCAGCTAGTTAGTAGCCCTTCTGTGTACTTGTGGTGAAGTCTCCGATCTCTCATATGCACATTTTCAGTTCAGCATTATCACGGATCTTCTGCCTTATGTCGCGCTCCCTTGTTCAGACTCGGTGGAGTGCACGGTGCGGGGTGACTCGGCACGTGTGCGGCAGATCTTCTCCAACCTCATCAGCAACTCGATCAAGTTCACGAAGGCAAGCGAACGCTTTTTGTGCTTCTCTCCTCCGTGCCTGTCAGCGAACGGTTTTTGTGCTTCTCTCCTCCATGCCTGTCAGCATCCGCCACCCGTGTGCATCCAACACAAAGAGCTCTATTGTCTGTAAAAGCGATCAGACAGCTTCATCAGGCTATTTTGGCGATTGTCTCCAGTGCACGCTTCGTTGTGTTCGTTACCGTCGGAAGCAAGCAATCCGATTGCCGTTTGTGCCGTTCAGTCAGCTCGACTTGCAAAAGCTTGACGTCCCTCATTCTGGTCTGTCGTGCCACCTTTTGCATTTGCGTGTAGACAGAGTGCTTGGTCGACTTGTCTTGTCTCTGGAAGACCAGTTCCACTATTAGTACGCCTCTTTAGTTCCGTTATCGGATTGTTTTAGGCGGGTGACTCCCCTGAGGGCAGCGTGCATCAAGCACCAGTATGCAAAATGTGCAGACTAAACACGGCCGAAGAACTATGAAATCCGCGAGCGGCGCAGTAGAAGTATTTGCGGACTGCCACTCGGGCCACACTGGCGCAAGAGTCGCTTCTGAATCATCATTCTGACCAACTTTTGGATAAATGCAGACCGGGCATCTGGTCGTCCGGTGTTGGGAGGAGCCGGTTGACGCCCCTGTCGAGGAGCCGGTGCAATCCAAAGGGAGCGCAACTACCACTCCTCAACACAGCGGTTCGTTCCGGAGGGACTCTGCTGGCGAGCCCCGTCGTGTGCGCCTCTTCTTTGAAGTGGAAGACACGGGCACTGGTAAGGGTCGTTTGTACTCTATCATTGGAAACGTCAAGGGGTCAATCTCAGACTGAAGCTGTTTCAACGAACCGCTTGAAACGCTTCAGATTCGACCACTTTATCCTGCTGTTTTCTTTATTTATCCGAGTAGGGTAGGGAGGGTACACGCTTTCAGTCGATGCTGGGCGAGAGCTTATCTACACTGGATTGACTGGGAGTGCCGAGTCAAGCACCTTTTGCCCTGGAGCGTTCAAAGTCGACGTCGGAGACGGACGCAGGCAATGTTCCCAGTTGCGGTAGGACTTTAGGGTTATTGGACTGAGCCTGTCACTGCTGTGCTCGCATCTCTGCCGGACCGGGCTATAACATACATCTAGAACCTTCCCGAGTCCGCCTCAGATTCGCCTCCGAAACCGTGCAAAAGCCGCTCAAACCCGTCATTGAAGCCGTCAAACCGATGTTGACTTGCAGGGATTCCTTTCGACAAGCGCGAGTCCGTCTTTGAGTCCTTCGTCCAAGCCGACCCCAGTTCCACCCGGCTGTACGGCGGCTCGGGTTTGGGGCTCGGTATCACGCGCTCGCTCGTGCAAATGATGGGGGGAAAGATCGCCATCTTAGATAAGAACGGCCCCGGCACTCTGATCCGCTTCGATCTAGTTTTCGAGGCCCCCCGCAAGTCCAACAGCTCATGCACCAGCTTCCGCCTGAGCCCCGAGCACGCGCTGCTGACGATTGACTTGCCGACAGCTGGCAGCGCCGGAGAAACGGCGTGCGACGACGGGAAGGGCGGGGACGGCTTTTTCGGTGGACGGGGGAAGCGCAAGCAACGGCTTCAGAGCCCGGGGGACGAGGCCTGGTTAGAGAGGGGGTTTGGCTCCGACCCGACCAGCCCGCGGGCTGTAGAAGCGGGGTTAGCATTTAACCCGTCGAGTCCTGGGGATAGTGAGCGCGGGCGGTCTAGGCTGAGGAGCTTTGACGCGCAGCTAGGGCTTCTGTCGAGGAGCGCAGGGGGGGCGCAGAAAAGCGGGGGGGTCATGCCCCCCCATCCGCTGGTTCGGACGCTATCCGCGATTGAGCCTTTGCGGCCAACAGCTGGCGGCGCGTTGAAGGTGCCAGATGTCAGAACAGACGAGCGACAGCTGGCGCCCATTGTCTCGGGGCTAGAGGGCATTTCCGGCGGCGCTGCGGTTGCGGAGGCCGTTTCCATCGTGCGGCGCTCAGTCGTGTTGGGGATTCCGGGCGCTTTGGGGCGGGGATTGGCGAAAGCGTGGTTGGAAAAGAACGGGTATGCTACCGTGGAGTGCGAGGACTGGAGCGCCGCGTTTGCGTTCCTCAAGCGGACGGTCTTTTCAGAACCGTTAGAAGTCCCCTCCGCAGGGGCTCTGCAGCAGGGGATGTCGAATCCTTTAGAGGGCCCAGAGCGTCCGGACGAGCTGCTCGTGATTCTAGACATCGACCTGCTGAAGAACGCAGAGAACAGTCCTCCGGGGCAGTCCCCCAGCGCTAAGCTGACTGGCCTGAAGGAACTCTTGTATTTCAATCAAAGGGCGAGGGTCGACTGGGCGGCAAATCAGGCGGAGGCGAACGAGGAGCGGCGGAAAAGCGAGCCGGTTAAGATCGCGGTGGGCTGGCTCATCGAGACGACCACCCCAAGCGCGATGCGGCACTTTCTGTCCAGAACAGGGTTCCCGATCAAAGTCGGCAAACCGCTCTACCCCACCCGCCTTCAGAAGCTGGTGAAGATGCTTAACGACGCCCTCGCCGAGCCGCCAACTCTGAATGTAACGTCACCAGGCGAATACCCGGCGGCGTTCCCCCCCCTGGACGTGCGCTCCCCACCTGTGGGCGACGGGCGCACTCCCTCGACGGACTTCTTCCGCATGGGGGGGTCAATCCAGGGGCGAACCCTCCCCCTGGAGGTGCAGGCGGACCTGGCGAAGCACCAGATTGACGGGGCCCTTTCGTGGAGCTTTTTTGACAACCGCGGCGCGCGCGCGCCCATCCCCGCCAAACCCTCAAACCCCGAGTCCGAGCCGCAGAGTTGGAGCACCTCTCCCTCGGGAACCATGACCAGCTCCGGGGCCAAGGACGCGAGCTCCTCGGTAGCAGAGTCTCCTTCCGGGGGGCTGGAACCGGGGGGGTTCGCTCCCCCCGAGAGGACCATAAGCCTCAGCATCGACATCCCCGAGTTTTCGCCGCCGTTCACGCCGCACAGGAAAGAGAGCGAAACGAGCCCGGACTCGAACTTTGCGTTTTACCTGGAGGGTGAACCGTCGCCCCTCAGTGCGACCGAGGCATTCCCGGCTGCCCCGTCGGACGACTCAAACCCGTCCTCTGCGGTGGGAAGCGGGCCTCTGAACCAGTTCTCGGTGCTCGGGAGCCTCAATAAGTCGTCCAGCTTCGCGTCTTCGTCCTCGTACGACACTCTCCTGCGCTCGCAATCCTCCGGCGTCAGCAGCCAGAGCAGTGCTGACGAGTACCCCCGCGGCTTCCGGGGCCTCACCCGGGGGGCTATGTCCGATAAGCTATCCCCTACCGACAGGCTCCCGGGCCCGACCGTCCGGGAGTCGATCAGCGAGCTGGAGGACCCGAAGTTCGCCCGCTCTAGTTCCCCCTCGCCCGAGATCAGCCCGGTGACGCCCATCGTGACGTCAGCGTTCTCGTCCCCGTCCCTGGTGACTGCCTTACGGCAGAGCGGCTCTTCGTCGTCGCTGGCTCCTGCAAAGGAGAGCCCCGGGGGCGAGAGCGCCAAGAGTTTCGACGGTTCGGGGGGGTCTCCGCAGCTCGGGGAGACGGGGGGTGCGCCGAAGTTGTTAGAGATGCGGACTTCGAGCGGGCCGCTAGGGGGTGCGGTTGAGCAGAAGGCGAACCCAGTGCATAGGTAAGTAGCCTGTACGGTCTGTTCTGATTGCAAATGTGCGGAGAAACTTTGTCTTTGTTACAAGAGTCCGCTTCTTTTCAATTCACAGAACCTTTATAGGCAGTTTGTGATCTCCGTACTGGACGAGAGGAAGGCGTGATTCATTTCTGCCAGGGTGAGGGTCCCTTTGAGTGCAATAGTTGGTCTTTGTATGTAACCACTGCTCACCGCCCTCGGCTATGTTGGAAAAAGACGTACTTCAGCGTATGAGGACAGCCTGCGAATGATTTGCAACCTCAAAAACCTTGCTGGCGTTCGATCAGCGCCCAGGTGCTCTCATACGTAGTCCCGATCTTAGAAGCTCCTAATACCACGCGCTCTTGATTCTGCGAAATAGAATTGCCTTATCCCACATCCTGCCCTCTCTCGCAGGCGTTCTGCCTGCGCGCAGAACCCCGACCCTGGGCGCTCTTTTAGCAGCAGTGTTCACATTGAATTGAAACCCGCAGGATCATCATACTTCTCACCACCCCCGCTAAGCTGAAAACGATGTCTTTTTCTTGACAAATGATAGCCTGTTCCGAACCTTAATCATCCACGCCAAAACTTCTGCAGGCTTTCTGCCAGCGCCCAGAATTCGGATCCGGGCGCCAAGTCCAGCCCCGCGCAGCCAACGCCGAAAGCTTCAATCCGTAGAAGTTCATGACACGAAACCCTCAATCGACACCCCTGGTACCACGACGTTCTCACTATAGCATTGGCCTTTCTGACATTCTGCCCACTCTTGCAGGCGTTCTGCCAGCGCGCAGAACCCCGACCCGGGCGCCAAGTCCAGCCCCGAGCAGGCGACGCCAAAAGCGACGGCCCGCAAGAGCCCGCCGATCCTGCCGCTCTCGGCGAAGGCGCTCCAGGGTCTCCACATTCTAGTTGCTGAAGACACGCCCGTCCTACAGCGGTTAGCGGTGAGGATTTCACTTAAAACGCCCCTTTTCTGGTCTGCAAAGAGGTGATTCTCGGATTCATCGATTCGCATCCGTTTTTGACATCTTAAATGCTGTAAGACACGCCCGTCCTATAGCGGTTAGAAGTGAGGTCTCACTCAAGCAGCCTTAGTTGCTGTAAGACACGCCCGTCCTATAGCGGTTAGAAGTGAGGTCTCACTCAAGCATCCTTGTTTTGCCAGGTAAGGAGGTGGTCGTTTCATTCACGCCACCTGTTTCTGTCAAGCCTTACGTTGTGAGAATTTCAGCAGGTTGTCAGTCTTGCAAAGGCTTGCAAGTCCGGTTTCCAATCTCCCTTGCTCCTTATGCGCACCTTCTTTCATTCCGCTTGCATTGATAGCCGAAGTCAGGCCTCAGGATCTGACTGATCCAAGACCTTTCAAGGGCGAACTTCTCTAGGATCTGAGAAAGTATGGAAGCTGCTACAGTGGGATTGGCCGTCGAGGGGAAAAGCAACTCTGTGCAAATGCTGTGCAGCAATTGGTGTTGTCATCGAGCATTCTCCGGGACTCAGGTCTTCTTTACGACCAATTGTACCCCGGCTTTATAAGCCTGGAATGAGACGGGAACCTTTCTTCTCATGACCCTTCTCCCAGGATCTTGTGACCTCTCCGGTCTTCAGCGGTTGGGACAGCTTTCGGAGAGGACGTTTATGAAGAGTGACGTGAGTTGTCGTCACTGCAGGTGACGCTGCTGACGAAACTAGGCGCGGAGGTGGTTGCGGTCGACAACGGCAGGCTCGCCGTCGAGGCCGTCGCGAGAAGCATGCCACGTGGAAGCGAACGGTTGAAAACGTTGGGCCTTGTCGCTTTGGGGAGGCAAGACGAGAATCCGGGGTCGGAAATCCCCCCGAGAATTGTTGGGGTCGGGAGCGACTGGTCGGGGGAAAGCGAACGGAGTCTCCCTGAGGCGTCGGGGACCGAGATTGAGGAGACGGGGGGAAAGGCCCGGGCGTTTGATTGCTTACTTATGGACTGCCAGGTAAGCGACGGTTCTGATCGGTACTGCCTTTGTTCTCTCCTGTTCTGTTGGGTAGTGGTGCTGCTTATGCAGTGCCACGTGCCATTTGGCAAAGTCCCCCCTTTGAGGTCTTAGTCCATGAGCCGGAATGCTACCTCCGTATGGAATTCGTCCTTGCTATGAGCTCCGTTTGCTCGCATTTTTCCTGCCTGAGCTGACTCCCAAACTCAAGACCTGGTCGTTTGTGCTCTTCTTGCAACGGGGTGTCTGGTACTAAGGGCAGAAAGATCCCTTTCAACTGCATCTGACTGGTCGGCAAGGGTTTTTCACAGTTCGTGCTGAAGTTACCCATGGCTTTTTTGGTTCATCGTGGCTCCCTTTTGTTTCTCGAGTCGCTCCCATAAGTAGCTGGATTCGCTTTGCAGATGCCGCAAATGGACGGATACGATGCTACGAAGGCGATCCGACGGCTGGAGACGGGGACGGGGCGCCATCTTCCCATCCTGGCCCTCACTGCGCATGCAATGGTCGAGGACGAGCAGAAATGCTTAGCTGCAGGGATGGACAGCTACCTCACAAAGCCTATTAATACGAAACTTCTCGTGTCGACTATAAAGAAGGTGATAGGCGTTGGCAGGGTTGAGCGCTTGCCGAGGTAGTCATCAGACCGCGGGCGCAGGATACTACGTATTGCGAAGTTGCGACGCACATACAGAGCAAAGCGGAGTCTGGCCCTAAGCTATACGCACAGCTCGGTGCAATAGAAGAGCTTGGGAGCGTGACGCTTCAGTCCTAGGTGCTTGTATTTAATCCACCGAAAGGTGTCGTGCGATGGGGGACAGGAGAAAAGTGAGTCAAAAGTTGCAATTTTGGTCAAAGTTTGGAGAAACGTTTGAACGATAAGTTACGGCTTGGGCGCTCGCCGGCAGTGAGGGCAGGGATAGGTTTTCAGAAGTCGTTGTCAAGAGAGAAGAGTTTTAGCACGCTTTGCACCGGCACGCTTAGGAAAATGCTTTCTAGCAACAGGTTTGGAGCTTTGAATCGCGGACACCGTCTAGGGGGTGAAATGGCAATTGTAGTTCACGACATTAAGTTCGCATGAAATCTTCCTCAATCTTATAAGACGGTTCAACGGTTTGATCCGGTTGTGACCATACATACTAATGCAGCAGAGAGCCTGATCACAATGAAATTGTTGTAGTTGCAATTCTAAGTGACATGCGTTTAGTGATCAGCACTGAGGCTCGCGGTCACGTTGGTTGCTTTAATCGGTATGATCTACTGCATGAGTCCGACTCGCTAGGTATGTATATCAAGTTGCAATTGACATTAACTTGCATGCCATGATCTGTCAGAACGCACTAACCTCCATGTATGCCGCGCTGAGTGCGATCAATCGACACACCGGGCTATAGTCAGACGTGGACTACTAGTAGCCTTTGGGGCCCAACGTCGCACCCAGCGGCGGCATAATCGGGCGGCCGTGATCCTCTGTCCGGACGGTCCTGCCGCCCTGCGTGTACGTCCCTTGTAGCTTGACTGATATTGTGATCGCGTTCAATATTGCCGGACGCGGTAAGTTAAGGTCGCATGGCACTGATGACAGCAAACACGTTAACAATCATACAGTACTAAAACTTAGTCCTGGCAAAGTAATCTGGCGCACGGCACCATGCGGCGAATTGATTGGATCAACCATCCAGACGTTCTTGTTTACTGTACGTACTTCACTCTCTTTTGTACTTTCATGCTATAGAAACGACATGTTTCATTGTCCAAAGTGCAACGATATTTTGAGCCGGATCCACACAAAAGTATGTATATGCACAGCTAGCAATGGCATCCGTATGAATGATGCTCAATGGTCCACTGCGCTGCCAGCCAGTCATGTGATGATGTCAAGCTTGGAAGCCCCGTCTTCTGCCGGCCAGCATCCAAGTTTCCCCCTTCTCGCACCCTGCATTGAACGCCCCCCTAGTAGGCTTGCTCACATTCCTGCCCCATCATGGCACTGATATTGTTTGCCATGTATATCTCAGTACGTACTATGCCGCCCAAGGTAGCATGTGATGCTTATATGCGGCCATTAGCACATGTTGAGTACTTCCAGGTGCAGGAATGGCAGTCATAGTCACTTGCGTGCCACGGTGAATCATTCATGCATTCGATTTTAGTAGTGATCCGGCCGGCCGTATTTATAGGGTGTACATGAATCCATCCTCACCATCAATACAGTCAAACGCACGTACCACGTCGATCATGCGCCTTCTTTCCACATGCGCAGCTGGCCCGGGCGCTGCACATCGCACTGTGTCAAGCCTGTTTGTAGTCGGAGAGCCCTGTTAATAATTGCCGGCCCATCATCATGGCACTGCAGTAGCCGCAGTTGTACGGTACGCTAGCCAGCTCGACCAATGACACTTTAGGCATAGGAAGCAAGTTAGGAATAGTAAGCCCACCAGCCTGGGACGGGTAGGGTTAGTTTGGGGGTTTGGGGTGGGTACGGGTGCGGAGCAAATAGTTTTACTTATAGGTTCAAATTTCAGTGTTTGGTTTGAGCTTACTATCCTTAAAGTTTACTATCTCTAAAGCGTCGCGATATATCCAGCCTCAAGGAGTTTCGACCTCAAGTGCTTTGTATGCTCTGCACGCCCTAGGCCTAGCTGTGGCGCCTTGTAGTCACGGTAACGCTTGTACAGACCGAAGTGACCATATCGACTCTTGGACTGTTCTTGTCGAGCTCGATCGGCCGGCCGGTTCTACCTTTCATGGTCTCAATCCACTGCACGGCAAGCGCGGATTGAGTACTATGCGATGCGAAGCTGGCTTCGCATCGACGTTAGCTATTCACCTCAATTACGGCCAGGGCTGGAGGTTCAATATGACAAAATGGCGCTTTGTTGGTAACGCGTTTTGAGCTACTTGGTGATTTAAGCCGCCTCATGGCATGCACGTCATGTTAGAACTGGTGCTGCGTTTCTTTATGCGCGCATACTTTATATTGAATCTCCCTAGGACTGTCGACTTCCTGATCGCAAGTATCTCAAGCGAAGTTACTTCAAGTTAGCGGGGCCCCTGATTTGGACGTTTTCTGCAAGTCGCTTTACGACCTCCATGTGATTCGCCATCGTCGCGTCGTCTTCCAACTTTATCGAGTGCAACGTAACGGCTTTCGACAACAGCGCAAAGTGCTGCAGATTCGTCGCGCGCGCAAACGGTTTGTCGTACAGGTGCCTGAACCCCCCTCGTAATTGCTGCGTCGTGCTATTTCCAAGCGCGCAGGATATGCCCACGTGCTTATATACGCAGCGTCCGAATTCGGTGTCCGAAAGCTCGCTTGACCACTCCCGGAGACACGTGTCGAAGTGCGGACCTAGCCGCGTCAGCGCCGGACGGTTTAGAAGGTACCCCGGGCCGCCCATACAGAACGGCAAAATCCGACCGTCGCTGCAAGGAAGAGTGAGCAGAATCGACGGCGCATACCTGCTGGCCGACGGCACGGCTTCTAAAACAAGCTGGAGAAGGCTGTGATAAACATCAGGAAGTGACCTAGGGAGAACGCGGACTCGCAGCCGATGTTTGGGTATCCCCCTTGGCTACAAACCCCCGTCACATACAAACACAGGATGGTTTGGCTGCTAACCAGGTTCGATAACACGAACTTCAGTCTGGTTCTTTGACCGATAACCGCGTCATAGCCATGTTGAAAACCTGGTTACTGCTCGAGTCTGGTCATTGGACAATGAACCAGCTTCGAACCAGCCCGAAACCGACTATAAGTAACCGCCAAAAAACCCTGTGAAAGGCGGCCTTCATGGACAGCATAAACCATGCGCAAAGGCCAGGTTAGCGGAAGAACTGTTCTGGAGGTCTGCCAGGAGTCCAAGTTCTTCGTGGTGCATTTGTTCAGATAAAAAGAAACTAACTACTGGGACGTACTCGGTGATCGCTCCGTTGGCCTTAAAGTGTGAAACCGGAAGAAAAGGCTGCCGGAGCTGCGTGTCTGAATAGACGTGCATTGTTTCCGGACCCATCTCCTTGTTTCGCTTTACGAATGTGTCGCGGTACCAGTCAGTCGACGAAACGAAGTACCTACTAAATTATGCGTTTCTGAGTAGAAGCAAGCTGTGCTTGCTTTAAGTTTTCCAAGCGATACCAGAGCATTATTTTCCCTGTTCTGGTTTTGCGTCTTTGTCTTGAGTTTTTGAACCGACCCGGCGGATCAGGGCGCAAAACCTTCGATCCGTTTCTCTGTTGCAAAGTCCGGCGGTCGAGCATTGCTGGAACGGAATGAGTGGAAACGGAACGGCCCACCTTCCAATACTTGAATCGAGCGAGCGACTGTTGAGCAGAGTCGTCTCTATTTCGTCTTGAGAACAAGCGCAGTTTTCGGCTGACAGAGACGTCCGGCTGTCGCAATTACCTGAAAGGCTTCAGTCGCCTACGTTGGTGAGCTGAGCCATTGCTGCTAGACGCAAAAACGAAATGACCGGGAACGGAAAGACCGGAAACGGAACAGCCCACCTCCCAACGGGAAGGTCGAGCGGGCGGCCGTGGAAGTGGGTCGTCGCCCCAAAACCCGGCGAGCCGATGTAGAGGGGCTCGAACGTGTTTCGAACTAGAGTGGGGACGCTCTGGAGAAACGCCCTCAGATTGGCCACGTTCAGGAAGGTGTCGTCGTCCATGTGGAGGAACCTGAGAGCGCCACGTGGCAGGTTTAGAAACAGGAAGTCGTTTCAAATGAGACGATTAGATTGAGAGGATTTCGACGGTGTAGCAGCCCTTACGCTACAGGAAGGAAGAACAAACAGGAAAGGACTCAAAAGAACCCGAATACGGGTGCATTCAAAAAGGCGCCGGAAGTGATTCCGACTGTGCGCGCTGTAGGTAGATACAGAAAGTGGCGCACCGACGTTTGACCTCGTTAAGCAATATATGCAGCCTCAGTTGCCACTAGACTCTTAACGTTCGCATACGTAGTGGTCGAGTGCAAAAAGGGAAGCGGCCTTTTGCAAGACGACGAGCTCTTTCACGGTGAAAAACTAGGGGATTGCTTACCGTACCGAGCTTTCCACCGATACGCTGTCTGAGGGAAGGAACCAGAAGCTTTTACCTTGGAAGCACACGTTCGGTATTTGGGGCGCTACCGAGAAGCGGAGTTTGAGCGACCCTCTTTGCAGCCTCTTTGTTGCAGCTCGCTCGGACGAACAACGCGACCAGGCAAGTTTGCGAACACCTAGACTTCGGAGTAAGCAACGGACGTGGGACTTTTAAAACTGAGTCTCCAATGTTACCAGTCTTGTACCTGCGGACAGCCGTACCCGGTTCAATCTCAAAGAGAGGGATAATGATGTCAGCGGTGTCAGGGCCTTAGGGCTCGAGTCCAGCCCGTCCTGCTCAGACCTGCTTCCCAAAAAGAATTCTGGTATTTCATTTTTGACGAGTCTAATGTTACTTGTCTACTTCCGACTAACTAGCAGTGGCGAGAAAATAGCGGCAAGAGCCGGGAGGTGACCACGAGACGCTCTGCTCACCACTCGTAATCGTCCACGTGGTTCTCGTAAACGTACTGCCAGCTGTCAAATTCCTTTAAGCGAGGAGGGTACGCGTCACTGCAAGCAACACAGAGCGTCAACACAGGCCGTCTCTGAGAAACCCTCTAAACGAGCGCCCCAATTTGTTCCGGCTGGTTATCACTCCGGAAACGAGACTAACCGACTGCTAGCACCATGAAGGGTAACACCAAACCGAGTCCTGAAGTTTGCGTGCTGGGCCCCAATCGCGCCCACCACATCCGCGGGTAAGATAACCCGTCTCCGGCAGAGGATTGCAATCTTTGACGGCGCTATCCTCCAACGAAGTAGACGACCTTGGGACACGAACGCAAAGGTCGGCTGGAGATTTCCACAAACAGCCGGGCTTGAACCCATCAAAGCATTTGCAGTTCAAGAGGCGATAAGACGGCGCTGTGATGCTTTCGATGGCGACCTTTTCCCAAAAGAGATGGTGTAGCTTGTCGCTTGCGGCGCGGTTCGCGATAATCCATTGCCGAGGAGTTTAATCATGGCTTGTTTCACAACGGCACCTTAGAAAAAGGATCCGACTCGGGCACTTCTGTTCGTAAGGGACCCCTTTTGACTCAAATTCACCCCTCATGTCAAAGACAACCAGGCCTCTAGTCCAGCAGATACTTCCTTTTTAGACCACAGTTCTGCAATCCTGGCTCTTCGACACACTCCGACGAATTCATTTCATCAGACACCTCCTCTTATTCCAATTCTTTGTCACAACATTTAATATACTCCCGCCCACCTCACATTCCTCCATCTCAACGGAAGACCCCCATACTTTTCAGCGAGCGCCGCCGCCTGCGCTTCTCCGGTGTTGTTTCCCACGAACACGAGAAGATCCACTTCTGGGGCGAGCACCGAAATCAACGGCACCAGTCGTCTTTGAAAGTGACTCTCTTCGGCGAGTGACAAGAGGGAGACGAGAATTGAGGGGCCTCCGACTCTTACCGTCCGGTTTGAGAGAAAAGCGGGTGACGCAGCTCTAATTCTACCCACCTGCGAATGGGAAACGAGTCGAGTGAGTGCGCCTTTCCTGTGCTTGCTGTCCAGTGTGAGAGGAGAGCAGGGGACGTGGCTTGGATTCGATCCAGCTGTGATTGGAGACGAGTCCAGTGAGTCAGCTTATTCCATCGATTGCCGTCCGGTTTAGGGGAAAGATGGTATCCGAAGTGAATTCCAAACTAATCAAAGTGTTCTTGAGGAGTCACCTTCCTCAGGAGGATCGCGGAAGTGGTACGTTGTTACAAGCCTTCAGCGAGTTCGTAAAAGGAGCTGACCTCCTGCTGCCATTTGAATCCGCACGTCTTTGCAAGATTACATTCCCTCCTCGACTTTGGTGCTGATTGATTGACAGACAGGCGGGCACTGAGCTTATAATCCAGCTCCAAGGGGGTGTCAAATGTCCACCTCAAGTCTTTACATTCTCATAAGCATCAAATCAGCTCAGGTTTCCTTGCATAGATATGAGTTGCTTGTCCCAGCAAAAGTCAGCCTTACTTGTGCCCACTCCTCCTTGCAATCTTCCCCTACTCTAAGCCAGTTTACCAAATAATAAATCCTTTGGGGTCTGATTGGCTCCTCATACATGAGGATGGACCATCCACCGTCTCAGAACAATCTGTTTTGGCCCTTTCACACTCACGAACCACTCAGAGGACTCCCATCATCAATTGCGAACCCTTTCCTTGACGCAAGGGAGCTTCGTCCCTCCCAGGCTGATTGACTGACACAGCTGAGGGCAGCATTCATTTGAACCCTTCTCAACGTGGCGACCTCTGTCCCATAAGTTCTTCCAGCATCTGAGAAATTGAAAGTGTTTGACCCACCTGCTCTTTTAGCAGCTCACTCGAGCTGGGGTAGGCAATCTGGACACTCCTCAGAAAGAGCGTGCCTGTCCCAGTGTTCCCCACCTCAACTGACTGCCACAGCAAAAACTGGGCCCCTTGAAGATCCGCCACAAGAAGCATACTCCCAGATTCCCCAGCAACACTTGATACATTGAAATTTTGAGAGTGCTCGTGCCCCCCGTCGAGCGTAAGCAGTGTCAGCTCCAGACTTCCCGCCTCGGTTCCCAATGCCTCAATTCTGATCGTGCGTGGAGTCGCAAACGCGACATTGCTTTTGAGCCACAGCCGGGCACCTCCTGACAGCTGGAATCCTGACAGCTCACTAGAGTCCGCGCTCTCGTTTCCAAACCCTGTTCCAAACCCCGTTCCAAACCCTTTTCCCTCTGTCCAGCCCCCCAGTTCCGCAGGCTTCCGCGCAGTCCCCCGCAGGTCTTGCAGGTCCGCAAACCACCCATCCGAAAGGCGCCCGTCGCTGAAAACCCTAATGCTGTTGCCGTCAGTTACTACTTTCCGCGGCGAACTCCGGAGGCTATCTTTTGCTGTCTCAATCGTGCATTTACGCAGCAGGCAGAACGGGGTGCGAGAGCTGGTTGTGTGGAACAGAACTAGTATGGAGAATATCAGCGGCAGGAGAAGCGCAAGCTGCAGTCCCGTGGGATGCAGTACCCTCCCCATTGGCGCCCGAGCGGTGCTGTCAGCATGTTTCTCTCTCAGGTGTATATTGAGAGATTAGCAGTGGGCAAGAAGGCGGTTCTAGTCTTCTTAGATCCTCAGAAACAAGTTTTCTATGACACCTATGAGCCGCCACGACGTGGAAGCTGTGACCAAGATTTATCAAGTTCCAACATGCGCTTAGGAAGTTGCTGCATGCGGATGCAAAGACAGGGTGATCATGTCTGATAAAATTTGTCGACCTTGTCGATGTTTTTCATTACCGGCCGTGATGATGAAGACTTAAGTTTCAGGTCTTGGCATCTGGATGCATTTTGACTTTTTCATCGTCTTGCACGTTTAGAATTAAGTAGTTGGGTATTATCGTCGCCGTCGCAGGCGGCGTCGGTCCATTTGGCATTAGCACGAATCGGAAGGCCGCAAGGCGTTCAAGGCGTGTTTCAATGCTACCGACCGGTACTACACTGAAGCTGACAGTAAATACCTTCTCTTGGTGTTCACTCGATTGAGTCACTCAATCCACCGGTAATCCAGTCAATCAATCAGATATACGGGCCCGCGGCCGCCCAGCTTGTAAAGACAACCGGCCCTGCAACCTTTTTTTTCTTTTCTTTGTGATGTACAATCTGGCCGTACGCAGCTCATCAGAAGGAGTCTGCGGACTGGCATACCGCAAAAGCGGAGCGATGTGTAAGATGATTCAGAGACTAAGAGTCGAAGCGGGGACGTTACGATTTTCTCCGCTTCCTGACGTGTCGGGGATCGATGAGGGGTTCGCCTTCGGATTCCGAGTCGGAGGGAGTCTGATTGAGGTCGAGCAGTGATCGAGGTGGCAGCGGCGTCCTCAGCGGCCCTGCAACCGGTGACAGCGACTGAGCGACATGCAGCCGGTTCTGGAGGCAGTATGTGATTCGTTTGTATGTTTGTCCCGGTAGGCGCCTTGCTTGCAGGTAGGCGATTTGACGTGCCGGACCCGGGACGTGGCGTCTCTGACGTCGTATGTATAACCGCTCAGAACAGGTGGCGTGCAGCAACGGTGCTGTGAGTCTGTGACCTCTACAAGGCTTTTGGCCCGAGCCGCCCCCCAAATCTATGGGAGAATCATGGGTAGTACGGCCCAATGCCATCACTGATCGCTAATCCGTTTCCGGGTTGCTCGCGGGCCGCGGTCGGGGATCTGGCGCTCCCGGGGGAGAGCCGAGGCCAGAGACTCGAGACTCGAGAGTCGAGACCGACTGACATGACGTCATGACCACCGGGTCGTTCCGGACCAACCACGTCGAGCTTCTCAATCATTACTGCACACTAAGTACCGGTATGTGCTACATAGCGTTGGATGGGGATAGTATCAATCCAGGCCGGCCTGGATCCAGGCCCGAAATCTCCGGATGGTCCAGGCCGTCGATAACACGGTCCTGCCGAGTTCCGACAGCCTCAGGCTAAAACTTTCAGCCTCTTACTACAGGCCGATGGTCGATCAACCGTGCCCCGGTACCCGGGACTGGCTATGTCTACGCCGGCAGCCACTCCCGTACTACCGGTACTTATAACTGTTCTGGTAACTGTAACTGTGACTGTTAACCTGTATGGTAACGTAGCTGTAGCTGTAACTGTAACTGTAACTTTACTGGTAACTCTGCTTTTGACTGTAACTGTAGCCGTAACTGTACGATCGATAAGCTGAACCTGTACCGTAACTGTGTCTCCAAAAACGTTAACCGTGTAAAACGTGGCTATTAAACTGCTCGTCGGACCATATTGAACACATTTAAACTGAGACCTCAGTACCCGGTCGTACGGCCTCTGGCAGTGGGCTGGCCGGTCCCGGGAACCGGGGCAAATTCGGCTGAAAACTTTAGCCTGAAAGGTGTTGGGACTCGGAGGGTCCGGCGCGGCAGTATCGTGTTATCGACGGCTGGAACCATCCGGAGATTTCGGGCCTGGATCCAGGCCGGCCTGGATTGATACTATCAACGGATACCTACTACGGTAGTACCGGCTGTAGTGGTACCAAACACAGTGACCGCACCCCGAGGAAAGAACCGTATATTAGGCCGAGTACGCCGAACAGTACGTACTCTACTACCGGTTGGTAACTCCAAAGAATTGCAGCTACCCTAGTACCTACAGGTTGCAGTAGGTCAGCGTGACAGTATGTACGGCATGCCCTGATCGTACGATACCATGGTAAACGGTAGCCTGGCCGGATGCCGCTGGAACCTGCCACAGTAGCTAGCGGCCGTTGATCGTACGGGGCACCGACTTCTGAAATGTTGATCTGACGTCCAGTGTCTCCCGTGACCAGTCACAGCAACTGAAACCTCCCGACAAAGAAACGTCCGCCGGCGAGGGTACGGAGCTAGGTATTAGGTACATAGGTCCGGTATGGTACATTGCTCGGACCACGGAGCGAAGTCCGACGCCCTGAGCACCTACCGGTCCGCTTGCTCGGTATTCCCAAGGCTCATGGGGCTCTTTACTTGAAGGGAATTTAATCATTTCACATCTAGGCTGCATCTAGGTACCTCTAGTGATGCGTCAGCTAGATTGACAAGAGGCTCAAGAGCACAATCGAATCAACAATCTTGAATCAACATGGATACTTCTCTTATAGCCCGTGCGAATCAAAGGCATGGGGCGGTTGCATCAACCAACTTTCGACAACTCGACATCACACTGAGCTGTCGGTGTCAGCTAGCGGGGCAAGGAGAGTCCTGGATTCTGCATGCACAGATCATCAGAGGGGGCCAATGCGCTCTGTTATTCAGGAGCTCTGTTGCCGTGGCGTGGTATATTAGCTTCACCACTGTTGCCGAATGCTGTTTAGCAGCATGCAGCTCCAGCTAGCAGCACGTCGTGGATGCTGTCAGAGTAGCAAGCATGGGGCGTAGAAACGGGGCGTCCGCATTTGACGGCTGCTCCTCTAGGCTGCTGATAAAGATCCTGCTCTTGTTGGCTTCATGTGTTGGCCTCTCGCTGGTACATTTGCAGCTGAGACCCGCGCAGACGCCCCAGCTCACCAACGAAGCGCCCAACCTCTCCCAAGCAATCAGCAGCCAGCAACCAGATTGTGAATCTCTTTTCTCAGAGCGGAATCCCAGTGAGCACTGGATATTCAAAAGCGGGTGCCCCTTGCCTGCTGATTGGAGCTGGTTCCTAGCAAATGGGACCTCCAGCTTGGCACCGGCAATAGAGACACTCTCGTCAGACTGGAACATCAACTCCAGTTTTAATATTCCAGCGCAATGCAGGCTCATTTTTAACACTGGCGACCTCCTGGGAGACTCCATTGCCATCCACCTGCAATTCACGGGTGAAGGCTTTTCCAGCTCGCTGCAGCTTCACCTTGTCTCAATTGATAGGAAACAGACCCGTCAGCTAGAAGAGCTGCACAGCATAGGCGCACTGTACACGGTGCCCCTTGGGACTCTTGGGAGTCAATTCTGGTCTGGTCTGGAGTTCAGGAATGCAGGACATGAAAGACTGTCATTTGGTTTTGATACACTGTACCTGCAAGTGCACTCCCCAGCCGACCTTCTCAATCAGCAGGTTATATCTTATACCCCCTTTTGGTCATGGTGTCGCTGGGCCTGTGCATATCTTCAAGTGTACCACTCACCGCTCATTTCCTGCGGGAAATCTTTGCTTACTGGAAGCTTCCACTTGCCGCTGCGTCAACTTCACCAGGTCGTAGCTGTTAGTGTAAAAGCTGGTTTTAAGGCAGACAATTCCTGAGGTCCGGTGCATCTCTGCAGTTGGATATTGCGGCTGGTGATACTGCTGCACTTCAAAGTCTCTTCTTATTATTTGTACTGCCTCCATTGAAGGTGGTCCTTTCATTGTCCATCTGGCGCCTGGTCAGGTACTCTTATCCGCTTCTTGACTGGCATCACCCGCTTTGGACAAGATGCAATGCTCAAGACCTTCCCTCCTCCTAGGCTACCCAATGAAATGCTTCTCGCCAGGGGCATTTAATCTGCCACTATTACTAGCTCTTTACATAGTAATGGTAAGTAACCTGTCACATACTGGGCCGGGCGGATGGACAATCAGACCATGCGAGCTATTTCTAGCCTTTGCTTGGCGACAAGAGCTACCAGGAATTTTGAAAGGGCTTGCCAGTGATTGCTTTTCATTTCCTTTCAGAAAGGATAGAGAGCATTGGCAGCTGTAAAGATTGGATCAGGTATGAGGTATCCTGTACAGGCAAAGAGGAGAACCTCAGCACGAGGAGTATCACACTAGATCATAGCAGTAGATGCATTTCCATGACGATTCCGGCTGTTGCTCAGTATCTTTCCTTGCCACAGGTGCTCAAGATTCAAGGCGATGCAGCAGAAGGAGTCTGCCTTTTCAGCAGGCCCATCTTTACTGGTCGGCGTCCTCTCAAAGGCTAGTCATCACCAGCTCCGCTCCAGAGTTGTGCCTCTGTTTGCGAGCCTGGGTGACAAGGCCAAAATGATCCTCTTCGTTGGGAACAGCACCAGCAAGGACGTTGCAGAAGCACGTGCGGCTGAGTACGGAGGCCTTCCGCTTGTGTGGCTTGATGTGGAGTAAGTGTGTTCTTATCTTACGAGAGACTTAAGGTTGCTTTGGGGATGGAAGTTTGCTCTGGAGAAAAAGGTGACAACACAGAGATGTCTGACTAAGGACCAGGAAGCCGCAGCTCAAAGCTGACTTCGTGCCAGGGCTTTCTGGTTTAAGCACTTTCGTAGAAGAACGAAACAGTGTGCAAACGATAAAACCGTCCCAGCTTATTCTACTTTTAACCTGTGCGTGCTGGTGACCCTCCCAAGTATTCTAAAGTTGGATCAGCAAAGGCAAAGGTATCAAAGTGGTTGGGCCAGACCTTGTAACAACCTGTAGCACGGCAAGATGAACAGAGGTACAAAGGTTTAGGCCATTCTTCACTGTTGAGAAACGTGCCTTGTCCTACGATTCCTGGTCGTCTGATCATTGCGTGTCAAAGCAAGTCTCTCTTCCAGATTGAGAGAAATTTGTTAGGGGTTACAGGTTGCTACTTTCACCGCTCTCCCGGCCACCAAATCTGGTCAGTGAGCGGATTCAGAGCACAGACATTCTGTGAATGTGAGGTGGTTGCCAACAGCATTTCGGAGATCCGACTTTATCACTGTCTGGTTGTAGGCTTTTGGCAATCTCTCTATCAGACAGATTCGTTTTCTCTGCAGGGACGGGTATCCGCCCCGTCTGAAAGATCTCGCAATGTGGCAGTATATGTACGAGCATCATGCCACCGAGTATGACTGGTGAGAACTCTGCTTCTAATCTGCATACCGTAACGGGGTTCGAGGAGTCGATTCTTAAACCGATTGGCAAAGGATCTGCTGCAGATAGAAGCCTTGGCCTGTCGTTGCTCGGAGGCAACGTCATTGATTTAACTAGGTTGCTTAGCCAGGCATGAGAGCCCTTGCACAAAACACAGATCAGGTAACACATCAAGAAAGAGCATCTTTTTTCCACGTTGATATCATAGCTCGATCCTCTCGCGACTCTCCGAGCAGTTTGATTTCGTCTCGTAGCTTAAGACTTCTACTTGAAATTATTGCTTGGAACCGGCATGGTACCCCTCTGCCTGTTGCGTGCAGGTTCATGCACCTTGACGATGACGCCTATGTCGACTTCGAGCGCTTGAGGGACTTCTTACGAGGCTTCGAACTGTCGGAAAGAAACGCGGGACCTTTGTACCTTGGCGGGCCAACAACCGGGGCGAAATTCGACCCGCAAGGCCGACCTCTCAATGTTGAGAAGGGAAAGTGAGTTGCTTTTTCGAAGTCAAGAGGGTCGTAGGATCCGCTATCGCGCTTTTGTCTAGCTTACCAAAAGCAGCGATTGGACCGAGACAGCAGGAAAGAGCGCAACCATTTTCAACCCCGGATTTGCATCCGCATGTGGTATGATTATATCACCCAATCACTGGGATCGATATCTGACCTGATGCCAACTTTTAACATCTTTTGCTAGATGCTCGTGCAGGCCTTTGCCTTTGCCTTTCGTTTTTTTCTCTGAGTCTCGTAACATACTGAATTCTTCCTAGCGGCTGATGAAGCTAAAGAAAGCAAATAAGCTTCTCTGGTATGACCACGGGCACCATATGCCTGATCGACGGATGTCGGCGTGTTAAATTCGCGACTTCAAAGATGCTTCGCTGATACTGAGATGGGCGGATTTTGTCAGGCCTGGTCTGCGACTAGACGCATCGGAACATTCGAAGACTTGAGCTGATACCAATCTTTGTTTGACAATCACCACAGTCTGTGATACGTGCGGGTTGCCTGACAACGGTCTTTCGTATAACCCCGGAATGTCGCACCGAGAATCTCGTGGCAGCAAACATGTTCAGACGTCGAACGTTATGACCCGTACCCACTTTCGGAGGAAGTCAAGGCGAGATCGATGACACTGAGCACCATTCTTCTTTCCTTGCCAGGCATGGGGAGCTCCTTCCGTACTGCGTCGGCGGACCTGCCTACGTCCTCAACAGAGTTGCGCTTCAGAAAATGGGACCGCACATCAGTCAGTGCGCCGTCGAGTGGTCTAGCTGGCACTCTAACGTCGAAGTGGGGCGCTGCGTTACCAAGCACGCGGGCGTGGCTTGCGGTTCCAGACCATTTTCGGAGGATCAGATGAAGGCCCGCTTCAAGAGCGCTTGGAGCGTCGACCGGCAGATCCTGTTACCGATGGTCTTGGAGCCGGTGCATCTGAACGCCATCGCTTTGCACCCGGTGAAGCTGCGCGGACTTCGGTCTCTGCCAAACCACATGGAGCCTGTTCGCACGCAGGTCGAAGCTGCGAAAGCTCAACGGAGGTGAGCAATCCCTTTCGCGTCGACCCATCACGACTCGGGTCGTCTTGATTGCTACATAACTTGCAAAAACCCTATCAGAACATCTGGTCTAAGTCATGGATGTGAAAAGTTGCCCCGAGGTCGTTGCGAAGGACTCTGAAACCCTGCAAGTTCCGAGAGCGAACAACAAGTCGGTGAAGTGTGCAACCGGTTCTGAGGTGGTGATATTTGGAGCTGGCAGCTGCGCTCTGATCCTCCAATTTCACACCCCCGCATGCATTCCCGCTGACAAGCTGCTCTACAGGTTCGAGGAAGACGAGATAATCTGAGGCCTCATTGCATATCACCTCCTAGCAGCTCCTTTCTGCAGCCGAGGGAAAGCAGAAGCTGAGTGTTTGATCAACGAGCATCGATTCTCTTACGCTCCAGCAAACAGCTTTTGATACAAGCTAGGGCGATTTTCAGGGGCCAACCTTGCATCCCTTGAAAACCGAGTCGGGATTTTCAACATGAAAACCACTTCCTGCTGACAAGACCAATATCCCCATGCTCAAGCCCTATCCTTCTCCTTGGCAGGTACTTACATTGGGACGGCGTTGAAACTATTGCTTTGCGTGGCGGGTATAAGGCGCTAAGGCTGGCCCTCACGTGTGCTTTACGTGAGGCACGTGTGCTCCGACGTATCTTTGTGATGCCGGCCCTGGTTCCAGATGGAGACGGAGGACACGTGTCCATTCATCAGCTTTTCGATGTGCAAAGAGCGAGCGCGCGTCTTGGCGCGATCGAGAGCGACTCTGCCGAGTGGACGAGAGTCGTGCAGTGGCCCGCCGAGTATGTCGGAGTAGGCGATGAGGGGGCTTTCATGGACACTGGCTATTTGTCGAAGGCAGAGTTAGGGGAAGCACGCGTTCTTATTCGGCGCTTTGCTTCGAATGACTCAGACCGTCCGATGCTCGGAGAAGCGGTCGAAGCGTTCTGTCAAGGCTTCGGCAATGAGGGGATCGACCTCCTATAAGGCGTTCCTTACGGGTTCAGAAATGAGAAAGAAGCTGTCGCGCTGACGACGTCACACAAGTTGATCCAGTTTTACGAGTCGGTCAGGAAGAAAGTTGGTTACTACGACGCAGTCAAAGTCGTTGTCAGATCGATTCCAAGTTCCGCGTCAGATGGAGGTTCGGCATCCTTGGTGCAGACAGTTCTTACCGCTGCCAAGCGTCAGATTACGGAAGGTCGAACAGTGTTCTTGGCAGCTCAGAAAGGAGGCCTACAAGTTGAAGTGATCGGAGCGCTGCAAGACTGGAACAAAATTCACACCCTTGAAGACGTGACCGCCTCTTTCCAACCTAGCTCCTTAGTCGCAGAGCAGCTGGAAGACGTGATATACAGGAAAGGATTCACGCGTTTGCGAATCCACATAGAAGCCCATACTCTTGCCGTCGACAAGCCAGTAATGCTGGATCCACCGCTTGCTTCTCAAACCTCAGCAGTCTCTATTCCAAGTTCAGCTCATTGCTACAACAACCCAACTCTGACCACGGAACGATGGATGATGGAACACGGGTACGGGCCTTATTTCCGGAAGGAACTTCCAAAAGAACTTCGGGAGTGCCTTCCCGAAGACGCCGTCGTGTCACCGGAGCAGTTTCTGAAAAGGCTGAGCGTTTTCATCCTGACTCTAACAGGACAGGTAGAGACAATGTGCTCCAACCACAGCACCTCTTCAATGTGCTTCTCTTGCAGTCTGCTTAATTTGTTTCTTCTTGATTGCAATCTGAGCAATGGAATGCTCAAAATGGTTTGTGCTGGTCATTCAAGGACATTGACTTAAGGTCGCAAAACCCGGTTGTGGAACAAGTCTGTTTTGAGTGCTTCTTGAAGTTTCTCCCTTCCGATCCGAGACCATTTTGATCCAGCATTAAGATCTGAAAGCTGCGGCAATCATCTCGATGGGGAAGACTGTTACGGTACAGGTCTTGAAGCATCACTTCAGATACCCTAAAAGCTTGTCGGAGTCTGCTGTGTCTTAACTGCTTATTTATTGCAAATCCAGAAGCTACTCCACTATCATCTTGAGACAATCTGTTTCAACGATCGAATACTAACGGCTATTTATTTTCGTTCTGCAGGGGCGCTGGGAAGGTCTCGCTCAGAACTGCCGGCTTCACGGTTTCAATGCTGTGGCATGGACCGCTGTAAACGGGTCCGAAGTTTTCCAAGACGCGAACAAGACGGACCTCGGTGAGCATTCGTTGAGCTCTTGGAGTTACGTATGAGCAATTTCAAACGACTACTTGGAAGATCTTAGGCCAGTCAGCAGCTCGACATTGGATTCTCTGAGCATCAAGCATCACTTTTCCAGGCTCCAATCTCTGTCAACTGAACCCTGTGCTTCTCCAGTAAGCGGGTTGCTTTCTGTCAGACGAGATCTTCTGAAGTCGCGGATGATGCGATGTAGGACGTCAGCCTGTAAAAGGACTTGATGTCCAGCACAGCTGTTATTGGCAATGTCAAGAAAAACATATTGCATCAATCAGCTGTTGCAGCTAGAGTGCAAGCGCAGTCTTTAGTGCGAAGGATTCAACAGTCATATCTATGAGAAGGATGTAGAGCGTTGGATCTCGCTTTGTTTCGGCTAGGCCGAAATTGTTATCGATCGAATTTGTGTGTCGTTCAATCAGTCACAACATAGCGAGCTACAAACCAGGACCTAATTCGCTAATGCAGGTGCCAAAAAGCTAAAGCCCGGTGAACTGGGCGTCCTAGCATCCATGCGAGAGTTGTTCTTACACGCGCAAGAGTTGCGGTTGCCCGCAATCCTCGTACTAGAGGACGATGCCCTACTTCATAAGCAGTTTGGCGAGCGGTTGAAGGAGCTCTTATCGACGAGCGCGCGTTGCTCCAATTTTCTTAGAAGAGGGGGCAGGTAGGTTTTTGTTTTGAAGTCGCGTCAGACCTTCGTCTGAGCTCTTGACTGAGAGTATGTTCTGCGAGAAGAAGCCGACCTGACATCAGATCTAGCGCACATAAGGTCCCAGAACGATCTCGCGATCGGGCCGAGTGCGCAATGATTTGACCGTGTTGCTCATCTGCTTCCGCAGGGCGAGTTTTCTTCGAGTTATTATAACGCACACGTATGAGATTCAAAGTTAACAACCTTGCAGATAATTTACTGATCTGATCTTTTTCGCTGACATTTAGGGAGCATTTCTTTGAGCCTCGTACTAGCTGTATGCACATCTCCTACTGACGCCTCCTGAATTAAATTTTTGGAGATGGGGACCGAGTCTTTTGTTTTGGCTCACTCCCAAGGATTCGCTTTTGCAGTGGCGGCGTATTGTTGCTGGGCGCAACAGAGTGGTCTCTCGACGCGTGGAACTGGATCCAAGACGACGTCAGCACGAGGGTCTATGACGCAACGGGGGCTCGCTGCTACAATGCAAACCTGCTCACGTATGGCGCATTTGCCACAATCTATCACCAGGATACCTACGAGAGTATACTGAGGTGGATTAATATTCAACTTCCAATCAGGGTGGAACCGTACGATCACGTTTATCAATACCTTGCGGGTGAGTGCGACTCTGATTGATTCCCCGTGAAGAGTCCGAGGGTAGGGACAGGATAGAACGGGTTGCACTGGTCGAGAAGGTGCTTTCTGCAAAGGGCCTCTGAAAAGTATGTGAATTACTTCCTAGATTGTGACGCCTCATTCTTGTCAAGCCCAATCTGTATCTTAGGCAAGCACGCATCTAATTAGATAAGCAGTTGCAACACAATAAAACTCTCGCGCTGCCTTGGTCACCTTTGCAGACGGGTGCAACATTTGCGCCAGGCTCTTCGACAATCTCCTCATTTGAGTGGTCGGGAGGTCTGTGGAGTGCTATTGAACATGAATAGTCTGCGCCTTTGGGACTGACTCAGGGAAGCAGTGAAGCCAAAAGCATCCGGAGATCTACTCTTACATTTGTGATACTGCAAAACGTTGAAGATTATTTCTGACAAACTTTCACTGAACCTGAAAGATTCTTCCTCTCCTTTTGCAGCCAGTGTGACCATTGTGAGAGTAGCGTACCCATACTTGGCTGTTGCGGACGTTAGTCATGCTAGTTCCGTAGATCCGGAGAGGAGCCAAGACGTCCTTGACCGGAGTCTTCGACACGAATGGAACCTTTCTTTGTATCACGATCCGGTTACGATGCACAATATTGTAAGTATTTAAGGGCGCTCTGTGATCGGGAAGATATTTCTCCGAAGTTCAGTTATTTCTCTTTGAAAATAGAAGATATCTTCTGCTTTTAAGAGGGACTGCAGAATCGAACAAATACCGCCTTGAGTAGCTCAAGTGCGCCTCATGCTTCCGATGGTGCCTTCGCTGCGTAGCTTAGGCGTTAGGAAAGAGACAGCGGTTTTATTTGCATTGGCATGCGTGCTGCCAACCAAGTCGGCGCAGCCTTGGGCGCTTACTTTCTCATGCACCATCCCCGTGGTTCTGATCGACAGTCAAAATAATATACACGTGCATGCTTACTAAGTTATACAGGCCGCTTGCGAAGCTCTGTAATGATTGTCAAGCCTGGCGCGCCCTGACTGATGACCACAGTGCAAGACATACTGCAGACAAGCCAAGCATTCGCGATAACATTTCCAAGGCAGTGGCGCGCATGGTCAACTGCACGTCCACACATGCCACGTTTCGCAATAGCCCATATTGGCAAGTTCGTTTTCTGGCGGCTGCAGAGCGTAAGCCAGCCGATAGTACGTCTTCATCGCAATGCGCTTGTCATCTGAAATTGCGTTTCGAAATTTCGGATTGAATGAGCATGTCTGAGGCCGCCCATGATCGAATTCACAACTCAAAGGAGAGTTGTCTTAAGAATCACCGGAGTACAGTTTTAATACCGAGTCACGCTGTAGCTACACACTCAAGCAAGGACGGCGGGAGAAGGTTACTCCGTGTACGTCATTACTCGTACAACTGCAACAAGATCATCGATTGCGGGGCAGAGTCAAGCAATGATCAGATGTCGATCCTGGTCGGGGCCATTTCTTGTCGCCATCCGCTTCTTGTGTGCATGCGGGGCTTCTAAGTCTCGATCGGCTTCGGTCGTCGGGAATTTTTAGAACGGCTGACGTCATCACAAGCTTGGCCGGCACGCTCATGCGCTAGGTGGATGTCGTTGACTGCCTCGATGTAATTTGGCATACCTGGTTCTCAAGAGCAGCGCCGTTAATGCAGTCAGCACACAGGCTCTAGGCGCACTAGTAGCGCAGCTTGCCTGATCGCAATTGAACTGCACACAATCGAGGTTGGCTAACGCACTCATTCTAACTTTCTCAAAAAGCATTAAATTTCCCCTAGACCGATGTCAAATTCTTACAAGATGGCGGCAGCTATCAGCGTGGCAATCTCCCCCGCTCTTGGTATCACGCACACGACTCCGACTAAGCGGATCAGCCGTCAGACCGGCGCCCCCAAACCTCGAGCTGCGACGTCTGTGGTGAAGCCCATTGCGAAAAGCAAGGGACACTCGAGCTCCAACTACTGGGTAAGCACATGTGCTGCTTGTGCTTGATCACCTTGTTATGTGCTTGTGCTTACCTTGTCATGCGCTTGTACTCACTTGTCATGTCTGATTACCTCGTCATGTGCTCGTTGCTTCCGATCTTTTGCTTATCAGAACTGAATTGAAGGGGCATCAAGAACAACTCTCGTAATGACACTGGTCTTCTCTTCGGGCTTTCGCACGCTACTGGCACTTCCTTTCGAAAGGAAGCAAAGAAAGCCGGAGAGCTTGATCTTTACTGGCAGGAAGCAACCTTCAGTGGGGTCGCGGATTGTTTGGACACTGTTGCCTGCAATTCGATTCGCCCCAAGATCCTATACACACCTTAGTTTCCATTCAATTGGTACGATGTTTTCAGGAGCACGGGAAAAGCAATTAAAGTTCAACGGAGATGCCAATTCTGATTTTGTAGGACAAATGCTTGCCCAATTTCCCCTTTCATTGAGATGTTTTTCAAGACGGGAGTAATTGAGAACTCAGTTCTAGATCGCTTCTTCTCTTTTCGTTCAGATGTCTGACAAGCAGGCCAAGACGCCCATGACTCAAGAGGCTGCGTCGCGGATCCAGTCTGCAGAAGCGAAGGCCGGGGATGGCGGCGTGAAAGCCGGAAGCTTCGCGGCGCGCGCGCAATCCGCGGCCGCGCGGAACGAGAGAGGCAGAGACAAGGGGGGTTCTCAGTCTGAAAATCCTTCTTTCGGGTACAAGGGGGACCAATCCGGGGGCGAGGAAGACTATTGGAGCGAGTGAGTCTTGGAGAAAGACGCTAAGACACTTGGATAGTTATAAAAGTTTAGGGCAGAAGGTTTAGGAGTACAGGGTACACGTGGCAGTCTGAGAAGGGTTCGGTGTAAAGTCACCGTGAGGTGCATTTAAGGGTAAGACTTGTTCCGATACGGTTTAGAGGCGAAGCTCGAGAGTTCAGAGAGATCGGTACCTAACCCCAAGGAGAAGTGTGAGGACGCAGGTATCAGGACGTCTTGAGCTTTCTCGATATGAGCAGGCAATTGAAGATGACGCTCGTTTCTTTCTCTGTGAATGGACGCGCACTGTTTGAAGTTTCAATCAGCTTCTTCGCAAAGGATGAGAGCGCCGCATGATCGAGAATGGCAAAAGCAGCATTTAAAGAATGCATTAAGTACGTCAACTTAGATAACATGTTGCGCACGTACTCGTTGGACTTTCTGGTGAATCTGTGTGTGCAAGAGCTCGGAGCCGTCCGACCCGTGTCGTGACGGATCCGATCGCATTCCGACGGATGAATCATCTGTCCAATCGGATGCAAGTCCACATGTTTGAGTGGGTCACGGGCAGCCTGATATTTAAGCAGCTGCTGAATGTCTTTCTTCGGCAACTATAGTGCATGAATAAATCCACGCCCCGCTGGCGCCGCCCAGCTCGCGAGGCCGCGCCCAATTGCGCAGGCAGCTTATGTGCGGCGTCAGCCACTCGCAGTGCATCAAAAAACCGTCGTGCGCGCACTAGCGCGCTCCTTGAGCCCGGGCGACTCAGAATCACGATCTAGCTACAGCATATCATGTTACTGATGTTGGAAGACACATAAATCATCATTGCGTGCAAACTTACCCGGCAGAAAGTGCTAGCAAGGTGCGGTGAACATTGAACGGTAGTACGTTGAACGATATCGGTCCGGCCGCAACGGGTTCAGACAAGGTTTTCATGTCGGTGGTTGACACGACACTGGCAGTAGATTTCTGATATGCTGTCTCAAACTAAGCGCTCTGGTGCGTACTACCGTGCATGTCATTCTCGAAATTGCGGACTGGGATGGTAATCAGCGCTTGAAAAAACCGAGAGCCTATTCGATATACCCAATCAAGCGCTGCCGGGCTCGAACAGCCCACATCCTGCGCCAGGCCGCCGGGCGCCGCCCTTGATACACACGCTATACAATACTTGCTAACTTTTTTTCCGAATGCAACTTAATTTCAGCGCGCAGCATAGGGGCAGTGCGATGTAACTGTGACAACTTGCCACATACGGTGACCTGCCTCCGGATTCGGTCGATCACACATGCTGCGCCTTTCGGTTCCATCCAAACCCTTCATTGTCCGGGTGTAGTGACAGCCGTCGAGCCGAGACAAGGGGGAAGTGATTGAGAACGAGTTGCACGATGCTCGTCTTGGACCGTTACCGAATGCTGACGACGGCAACCGTGCTCCCATGGGCACACGTCTAATGCAGATGCGGCCGCTTAAGAACGCACAGCAATCCCGGTTTGACGGTCTCCTCACACGTACGTACGCGACTTTATGTCATCCTCTTAGAGCCCATCACTCGGCGATACCAACCGACCGGGCTGTTTGTTTCTCCGTCCTACGAATACTCAGACACTGTACATGTTCCAAAGAATGCATTCTGCAGCATGATTCTAAACTACGCATCTGTATGTGACGTAAAGCCCGGCGCCCTTTTCGCTTGGTCGCTCGATTCTGACGACTTGCCCCCGCGTCACGCCGAGGTAACGGGCCATGGGGTCGGTTACTTGCATCCGGGGTAGCTGCAATGAAAACTATTGGTCTGTACGTAGAGTAGTTAAAACAGGTTATTTAGCGGTTAAACATATTGGGTTACGGGCTGGTTCGAAGCAGGTCAGCTGTCTGATGACCAGACTCAAGCAGTGGTTTCTAACATGGCTGTAATGCGGTTATGGTCAAAGAATCGGACTGAGGATTAGTTAGAGAACATAGTTAGCAGCCAAACCTTTCTGTGTAAGATGGTCCCAAGTGTGACAGCAACCTGGGCTTTGACAAACGGGTGACGTGATTTGAAGATTGATTCCTTCGAAGAAGTTAGAGGTCTGTGCACAGATCCTGTCAGCTTTTATCAAAGTGTTTCAACGAAGTGCGCCAGAAGATCTCCTGCTTAGCTCGACAACGTCGGCTTTCCATGCATAGTAAGCGGGCTGCGAGGAGAATATCACCACAAACATCTTTTCAATTGGTCGGGAACCGTGGCGGCTGAGAGAGGTAACAAGAAAAGTAGCGCGGGTGCAAGGTGACTCTTAGCTATGCCATCCAATTCTCAAAAGCTCCCACGTATGGATTATTGCCTGAGTGTCAATGGCCGGTCGATCCGCTGCCCCGACCAGCTTTCACGAGTCCGCGGAAAGGCCTTTGGTGGACACACCAGTTGACCTGCCTTTCTTCGACGGTGTGAACTCTCGAAAGAAGCGTTCGACACAAACCCTCTTTTTGTTCCGGCGTAAGTTTTACTTGTCCTTGGCCCAACTGACCTTATCATCACGAACTTCCGTACCGAGAACTCTCTTTGCGGATTTATTTTGCAGCTTGTTGCGCCCTCTTACTTGCCATGCTTTCAAGGCTATTTGATTTGGCAAAGCCGAAAGCAAGAAAAGTTCCTGGATCCCTGCTTACCTGCGTTTCTTTGACACAGTACCGTTTTAAAAGCGCCATCTTCTCCTCGCTGCTGAGGACGTAGTGCTTCGGTACGATCACGTGGTGGCTGATGTTAACCAGCAGCTCTGATTCCTGCACGAGGTTTGCAAAATCGGGTTATCTCAACCGAACTCCAACGGGCCAGCCAAACTGTAAAGTTACGGTTTCAAAAAGGCTTTCGATTGAACCGTCCTTTTCCTCGTTTCTAAGGACGTAGTGCTTCGGAACGAGCTCTTGGTGCCTGATGTTAACCAGCAGCTCTGATTCCTGCACGAGGTTTAGAAAATTGGGTTATCTCAACCGAACTCCAACGACGCAGCCAAACTGTAAAGTTACGGTTTAAAAAGGCTTTCGATTGAACCGTCCTTTTCCTCGTTTCTGAGGACGTAGTGCGTCGGAACGAGCACGAGATGGCTGATGTTTACCAGCAGCTCTGATTCCTGCACGAGAATTGAAAAACGGGTCATCTCAACCCAACTCCGACTCGCCAGCCAAATTGTAAAGTTACGGTTTTAAGAAGGGTTTCGATTGAACCGTTCTTTTCTTTATTATCTTACGTCGTGGTTTGGAGGGGCACCTGGCGGTTGATATTCATTAGCAGCCCTGATTCCTGCACGAAGTTTTCCAAAACGGGTTTTAACTCAACCGAGCTCCAACGGCCAGCCAAAATGCTAAATCTACGGCTAAAACGGGGTTTGGATTGAACCGTTTCTTTTCTTCATTTCTGTAAACGTCGTGCTTTGGAGGGGCACCTGGCGGTCGTTAGTCATCAGCAGCTCCAATTCGGTTTTAAGAAACAGTTTAGCTGATCGGTTGTCAGGAACTGAGAGTGCGAGAGGTGAGTTAGATGCAATTTAAGATACTTGAAAGAAGGCGAGTTCGTCAACAGAAGGCAAGACGGCTGATTGACAGCAGCTATTATCCACCAAAGCTTCGGACTGCGCGCTTTTTCCGAATTGCTATAGGCCACACTGGTACCCGCTTTTGCTTTCGGCCCGGGTTTTCCGATGACTCAGGAACGACCACTGGTGAAGATTTTTGACCAGAGATAAAGTGGCTAGTGCTCTTCCGTTTTCCCGTGGGTTAGCTTTGAGGAACCCGACGTCTTGCCGCTTCGTTCCAAGTGAACGCAGGAAAGTTTCGCTCTCAACCGAATGTAGTCAACAGTCAGATAGCCAGCTTTTAACCAGCTTCGTCTAGTAGAAGGACATCTAACCGGAGTACAAAGCCGGCTTGGACGTTGACGGTACCTTTCCCCCGTGAATGGGATCGGCTCGACTTTCAAGCATCAATCCAGGAACGGCTGGCCAAAATACAAAACATTTAGTGGCAGGCCACTGTGAGAGAGCGTTTCGTCCGCGAACCCGATTTGAATTGGGTTTGAACTGAACTAACCCCGGTCCGAAAGCTTCAGACCCCGTTCAGACATGTCGGATGTCCGAAAACGGTCCGAATTGGGTCCGAAGCAGATCCGTTTTGGACCCAAGTAGGTCTACGCAACTCCGTTCAAGGGAGTTTTTATCACAAAGTAAGTTGGAGAAGAAATTAAAGAGGCCCCCGCGCGCTCCTTTGACACTCACCTGGAACACTTCGATGAAGTACCCTTTGGTCGCAATCTCCCCTAGGCACGCCTTGGCGAAGGGTGTCAAATTCTCGGCGACCACCATGATGGCCCGCTGAATGTTGTCCCGCTTCATCTTTTCTACGTACTCTTTCATATCCTTGATACCGACGTTGAAGTTTCCGCTAGAGCGCCCGTCCGACTTCGCGTCTGGGAAGAAGACGCGAATCTGTAGAGGGAATGCAAAAGGCTTGTTTCAGGCCTGCTCTATTTTTTGTTTTCCATTAAGGAACTTGCTCGAACTTGATTGGATTCTTTTTCGTTGCAATCTCGCATCCAAAATTTAATTTGACAATCAGTGTCTGAAAAGTCAAAGGGGAGCTGGGCCCCGGATCAAAGAGGTTTCAAGTTAGCCTTTCACCTGCACGTAATCCGGGTCCTCTCATATGGTTCTGCAAATTGAAATTCAACGCAAAACAAGCAAAAAGCGAAAGACCTGTAGCAGTCCTTCGATCAATCGTACTTTCCAAATGAACCCACGATCGGTGTATCTAACAAGAGTCAAGGCACCTTAAAACAGTAGCAGTCTTTATATTTCGTGGAAGTATTCAGTGCCCCAGAATATGACTGATGGACGGAACCGCAAAAAACTGGTCGGTCAGACGCTTTGCTGAGCTGATCCTTGACATCTCTGATCCGTGAGGAAACCTTAGAAGGGACGCGCCTTAGTTGTGTCTGTAATCAAGCAGCAAAATCGGAAGGAATGCTGCATCCATTTCAAGGTGGTAGCGCTTCATTTGAGCATATATTCAATCGGAAAAGCTGATCTGCCAGACCCATTGCGGGGGAAGAGCTTTGCTTGATGGGCGGCGCAAAGCAAGAAGTAACAAATGAAAGAATCCTTATAAGTTCATATTCCACGCGTTTAGTGATTGTATGCGAGATACGAAGACACGCAAGAGGAAGACGCCAAAGAGTAGCTCCCAGAAGTGCTTTGTTCTAAGCCCACGTTCCGTCTCCGCTCTTTTTCTTTTGCTGGCATTTAGTGGCGGGTACCATCCTACCTCCGTGTTCACAGCGCCATCTTCAATCCACAACCGCAGAAATACTCGTGTCGAATCACATGCAACTGCAAAACGATGGACACCCAAGCCCACTATTCCTTGATTTAATACGTACCTGCTCGCTACTGTCTAGCTTTCTTTTCGACATCATGAGGTCTTCTTTCTTGGGCTCGTCTCCCACTTTTTCAATAAAGTCTTCCTTCGTCTGACTAAGCTCTTCATCGAGCACATTATAACCCCTGTCGTTTAGCATTTCTAGTATTGTCCTGCGGACCCTGTAGAGCTTAGTCGCATTCTCGTCGTCCATGACCCGCACACAACTGACTGGTCCCAAACACAGGATTTGGGCGGTTAACTGACGGTCGGTTACGGACTGGTTATAATCTGATGGACAGTTAAGCAGAAGTATATTGTGGGCGGTTAACTAATGGTCAGTTACGGGCTGGTTATAAGCTGATTGACAATGAATCAAGGAATAATTCTGTTTGTAAAGAGGCAGCAAGCTCAAAGCCCGATAATCTGGAACCAGACTGAAGGCTCGATACTTATCGTGCTTAGCGCTAGCAGAAAACCTTCCTGTGAAAGTCAAAGGGTTTTGCACAGGCGCATACACAGAACGCTGATGCTCGCAGGTCAAAATATGTTCTCTTGACGCTGAGGAGAAGTTGTGAGCCACACCGACCGAGTTCTGGATGGAATCAAAACGGGAATGAAAAGCACGTCAAGGGACAACGTCGAAGCGAATCTTATGTCAGCAACAAGCGCTCTCTCTGGGGTTTTTTCGAGCACCCCAAGTGTGAATCGCTTTCTCGATGACATTACCAGTTGCATGCGCGCCGTTACGAGGCACTTCAATTTGCGCTGGTCAGTGTTTGCCGTCACGATTGTTGCCGATGCCAGGTGCTTGAGTCGTACTCGAATTGTTGAGGCGGCCGGCTTTGAGAACGGCTTCTCTGAAGACCTCCCCGGTTGAAATTCTTATGACTCGAACAAGCTGACAGAAGCTTACTTCACTTCCCGCTCATTCCGAATGTCATCGTCTAAGTTGGGGCTGCATGGGACCGTGCATCGAAATCTCGTCTCGACGTTCGACAATGATATCTTATGCTTCAATTTAAGCGAGGTACAATTAGGCCCGGTTCTTCTGCCCACCCCCTGTCAATAGCTTGACCAGCACGCGGATGAGCTGAGAGTTGGACGATCATGGACCGAGTCTAACACCGGCAGTTTGAAGATAAATTCTCAGGAGCAGTTAACCATAGCTCCCCAGTGTTCTTTCGATCGAGACGCAGCTGTCGCTTGATCGCAGGCTAGCGCTGGCACGAAGAACTGCTTCTTCAATTCACAGATGTGGGCGATCCCTCAAAAAGCATCCACTCCCGCAGCTTCAGGCGAAGCTCTCCCAGACACTTCGGATCACATATCGGATCGGAGCGCCTAAGTCGAAGACTCCAACTCTCAGTGCTGATTGGGAGCGACTGCTTCTGCTTCTCTATATTAGCCCTTTGTGAAGCGCAAGGTGCGCTCCCAACTTCCAAGGAATGTGTAGCTGTGTACGCGTTGCCCCCCGAATTTGTTGCTTGAAATCCGAAGGGCTGCAGGAAGTACCCTCTCCAGTTCTTTCCAGTTTTCTTGTCGTCTTGTCGCATTCTTTTTTAGATATCTGGAAAGCAAAAGCTTTCCTGAAAAGCTCCGATGGGCGACCATGTTACTCCTCTTGAGAAATTCTTCCTCGTCATCCAGACTTTTGTTCACGTTCTTCTTCAAGTCCTGTGATCCTATACAGCTTGTTGCTGCAGCTGCTTTCGGCCCAAGACTTAGATAGTGCAAAAGATTCCACTTAGAAAGCACCAAAGTCGTGATTGCTATTGCGAAGGGAGACCATCACGATGCAAATCTTCGAGTCCGTGGCTTCAGGGCTCAACATGCATAATTTCCCCCGGAGTCCCTCGGTCAAAGTCCTCTCAACGGATGTTCTATAAAAAAGCACACAAGCACACAAGCACACAGAACAAAGTTTTGGTAGATCTATATCCGTGCTGTAGATTGCACTCCTAAATTACATCCGGTTCTGAGGTTCTTTATGACCTTTTGCGTCTTCTTTCTAATGCACAAACACGAATCAAAACGATATTAAACCAGACGAAATGAGGATTCCAAGTGTTCGCTCTGTTTTCTTTGTTCCAGATGTCCGGGAAGCAGTCCGGCACGCCGATGACTCAATCCGCCGCATCGCGGATCCAAGCGGCGGAAGCCAAGGCCGGAAACGGCGGAGTGAAAGCGGGCGGCTTTGCTGCGCGCGCGCAGTCCGCGGCCGCGCGCACTGGGGGGGAAAGCAAGGGGGGCTCTCATTCTGCCCACTCCTCTGGAAGGACTAAGGGTTACAAGTGAGTCTGTGAGAAGATAAACGAAAGGAATCGAAGATAGGGAGTAACGGACAAGAGAGCGCTATGCATAGCATTAATGGATGTCTGGAAGGAAGTTTCAACGGGCACCTGTAATACGTGAGCCCGGAACTCGTACGGTCTTCATTTGGGTCTTAGAACGGACGCTTGAAAACAGTAGATGCAGATACGTAACTCTGGCCGGATCCGCGAGTGTGAGGGTTCTTGAACCGAGCTGCTGCCAGGGACACTTCCTCTTTTGATACCGGCAGCTTGCCGGGCAATAGGAACCGACTTGTCTTTACCTATTCCTGCAAACGGGCACGTCGTCCCAAAAGCCGGCGATCAGAGCGCCCATATTGAAAACAACATTCTGGCAGTTGCATTCATCATGATCGGACCGTGACTAGGCTGATTGATTGGAGCATGTTGGACCCCTCTTCTGATTCGAACCAATTATCGACCACGTCTGTATTTGCTGGTTGTGGACCGGGTTCGGATCTAGACGTGCTATTTTGCACCCCACTTGAATGCTATCTTTGGCTCGGATCCGATCATTCGGACCGGGATCGTCGGATTGGTCGGATGTCGATGAGTACTGGGATTCGGCAATCTGAGACTCGGTCGCAGCAACGGGATACCGTGAACGATCATTGCGACTGTACAAGATTGCTCAGTGAGGTTGCCGCTATGCTGCCAAAGTCTGTGTCTGCGCGACCTCTTTAGTGGCTCACTCTCAAGCAAACTTAGAGGTCGGAAAGTGAACACACGTGCTGATCAGCTGAGCCGCCTTGCGCTAGCGTGTGCGGCCCGACAACACCGTACTGTAGGGTGACACGTCCGTTACTCCGTTCATTGACGGTGCGCTGGGCTGCAACCTGGCAATTTGCTGTTCAGAGAGTACGTACGTATATGTTGGCAGCGCCTAGTCAGCATTACGGCAATTAGAATCCGGACTTGTATAATGCCATATGACGAGGGCATGTACTAGTAGCACTCAACGGTTAATTCTGCGTATGTGCCTTATGGACGTCCCGGCGTTCAATTATCGCGGCGCCACGGAGTGCCGGGACGCCAAATCGAAGTGACCGTCGATACAGGATTTTAATTGAACGGCCGGAAAAGTTCATGACAAGGCAACATGCTCTTCCATTCTTAATGCCAGCTGACAATGCCAGCTACTTTAAAGTCGGGCATATTTGGTTTGAATGCATTCAAACGCTATAAAACGCAAAGACATTCGAGTAAAGGTTTCCCTCGCATGTGCTTGACTCAAGTTGATAACATTGAGCCCTCGCTCGGGGGAAGTGACCCGGCCGGGCTGTTTGTTTCTCCGTCCTACGACTAGATACTGTACAAATTCCACAGACTGCGTTCTGCGGCAGAATTCTAAACTACGTATCTGTATGTGACGTACCGCCCCGCCGTTTCGCTTGGTCGCACGATCCTGACCACTTGCCCCCGCGTCAAGCCGAAGTACCGGGCGATTGGATCGCTTACTTGCATCCGGGGCAGCTGCATCAAGACACGGTCAGAGATTAGTCAATCGAAAAACAACGTGTCCACTGTGCGGCGCCCTTAAAGCCAGTACGCCAGTTTTTTTTGGTCGCCCTATGGCATAAACAATTCGGCGACGACAATATTTTCCTTCATGTCCCCAAAAGACGTGGGTTGATTACTGACCGACTCTAGGATTAACGACTCTGCTATCAAAGCGCGACACTCCAAAATGGCGGCCCCAACGTTACTTTGCTGAAGACTTGTGTGGCCGTGGTTGAATCTAGAATTCCCAGGACCTGACACGGCTACCAACGGGAGTGGACGAAAAAGGTGGTGAGGCGGCGGGTGCATCAGAAAGAGAAGTGTGGGCTCTGGCCAATGTGACGAGATTGAGTGTCGATGAGTTTAGGGGTATGATTACAGCTTCTGTCAGCTTTTTTCAGTCTGTCTTGAAGACGTGCCACAGAGGATACTTCACGTTGGTTCGTAAACGCTTGCCAGCTTCAGAGGCAAAGAGGCAAAAAAGCCGGCCGTTTCACAGGAAATGGCCACGAGCAAGTTGTTTCGTGGCCGAGGACCTTGACCGCTCATCAAACAAAGGTTGACCTCGTCTCGGAAAAGATTAGAATCAGTACACAAAGCAAAAAGTCGTTTCACAAATTTCGAGTTCGGTATGGGATCGGGTGTTTGCCTAGCTCGACAAGTAACGTTCCGAAGGCTGTGGGTAGAGTTTAGCGCGAGCGCAGGAGAATTCCTGCCGCACTATTGTTACACGAGAAGTTTCCGCGTACGGATTCTCAACCGAGTTGTAAAGAGAAAACCACCGTGCCCCGACCAGGTGAAAGCAGTACGAATGGAAAAGGCGCCAGTGCACCGCGCAGTTTGACTGCCTTCCTTTGACGAAGACCCGTGCTAAGATCGGGAAAGTGACATCCAAAAACCTTGCCCATTATTTCAGCGCAGATTCAAGCAAAACTTCTCATGCCCATAAATCAATGCTTAAGAGCATCTGATTTTGCAGCTTCTACAGGTGCAAAGGTTTCGAAGCTTCTTGCACGCGTTCGCTATCGAAGGCCGTCTGCTGAATGCAAAGGAATGTGCGCCTTACCTGTGTTTCTTTGACAGTGTACCGTTCTAGGAGCGCCTTTTTATCTTCGTTGCTAAGGACGTAGTGCTTCGGGACGAGCACGTGGTGGCTGATATTTACCAGCAGCTCGGACTCCTGCACAGGGTTGAAAGAACACGGGTTTTTCCCAACCCGAAAGGACAGAGGTTGCGAAAGTTTCCGTTTGGATTTGGGTTTTTGAGAAGTCAATCACCATTCTTGTGCGCATTACAGCTATGGCTGACGGCTGACGTTCATCAGGGCTCTCCAGAGCAGACTCGTAAGCAGAAGTAAAACCTTGGGTCATCTCAAGGCTAATTGGTAAAGACTTGCACAGGACTTGGTGAAATTGGGGTTCAGCTAAACTGCCGCTCTAAACAGTGCGTGACTTCATGAACAAGAAAGATAGCTGACGGTCGATATGAATCCAGCAATTTGCTAAAGGTGGTAAAGCGAACCAGTTCTTCCAATCGTTTAATGCAGAGAGTTGCAATCGACGGGGTTAAGAAATCGGTTCCTTTGAACTCAAAAGCCGACTTTACAGCAATCCATCTTCATGAAGCTCCCGGCTGCGCTTTCTTTGCATGATTACCCCACAGAAAAACGAAGCTCACTTCTGGTGGCTTCGCAGCTCTAAGACAATCCCCAAACAACGGCGTTGACCAAAAGGTAATCTGAGGCGTGCACTTCTCCCCTCTGGGTTCGCTTTGAAAGACCGCTGCTGCTCAGTTGGATCATGGAGTCGGCAGGCTTCCAGCCATCATGACAATCTCTCCGGATAACACCAGAGATGCAAGCAGAGAAGTAAGGATACCAAAGGAAGTTGAAGCAAAACGGAGTCCCCTCGACAGTTAGTACGCACGCTCATGGTCCCGGCAACAAAAGTTCGGAACCGTCGATCGATGGGGGCTGCCCCCAACTTCGACCCTCCAGACCATCCGATGGGGTGCGCATTTATTGCTCTCTGCCAACCGCAAATTCGGCCCCTAAACTTCGCCGGCGACGTCTGCATGAGAATTGAGCGAGGGCGTCGCCACGTTTACGAACTCTTGCTTTGACACACTCGCCCAGCTATCGGTCAAAAGGCCCAACCCGTGCGTACTGACTGTCGAGCGCTCCCTTTGACACTCACCTGGAAGACCTCAATCGTGTACCCTTTTGATGCAATCTCCCCTAAGCACGACTTTGCGAACGGTGTCAAGTTGTCCGTGACCACCATGATAGCCCGCCGGATGTCGCCCCGCTTCATCACCTCCACGTACTCCTTGATCTGCTTGACACCGACTTTCCCGCTAGAACTCCCGTCTGACTTTGCGTCTGGGAAGAAGACGAGGATCTGCGGGAAGCGAGCAAAAGCTTTGTTTGGTGACCTTTTTCTTGTGACTCGCTCGACCCCAAGTTCTTCTCCGCTAACCAAGTCCAGTTTCGAGTTTATTGAAAGCGAGATTTGCTCCGGGAATTTGAAATCAGTCTAGGTTAGCTGTTGCTGTCACGTGTGGAGTCGTATTCTGCATTTAGAATGTCATGTGGAAAGTGCACCCAGACTTGTGCACCAACTTTGATGTACTGCCTAGAGACCAACGGGCATTTGTTTCTACTCATAAGCTGACCGGGTCGATTGCAACGAGCACACATAAGCGAGTCTGAGAGACAGCGACTAACTCTGCGTACTGGTTCATAAAAATGAATAGAAGGTCACAATCAGTAAGGCGCATCGGTGAGCTTGCATTGTGAAAAGTCCTCAACCTTAAGGAGACCTCAAAACGTAAACCTGCATCAGTTGTGCCTATAGGCCAAATACAAATGTCAAGCAAATCACAGAACCACAAACAAGGGAGGCAATTGGTGGTGCACAGAACACTCGAGCAGCCAAAGAGTATGACGCACATACTTCTCCAAAGCACATGGGCTTATAAAGGCACTCCAGCATTCTTATGCAAGACTGGCGTTTTAAAAGAGGTATGACAAGGGAAAGGACTTGTGCACTTTAGAAATGGCTTTGCCAGACGATCACTTAGAAATCAACGTCCCCCACAGGTTGCTACGAGTCTGGATAAATCCTGAGGCGGCTAATGCTTTCCAAGTGATGTCCGTTGCCTGGGTGGTGCAGAGAAACATCTGTTCTGTCCTCTGTCTTTTCCCTCCGTACAATTATTTAGAAAGTGGTGCATCAAGAAATGGCCATGTACTGCCTCTTGCAAGCTCACAATACCCACCGCACACCATCAACCCCGCTCAATGATAACTGTAAGTGAAGGTTGATACTCCTTTCTGTGAGGTAAAACTTAGACAGTTTTGCTGATGTTATATTTACTACCTTTCTGCATAACAAAGGAAATAAAGACAGATGGAAAAGTCCGGAATTCGGCAAGCAGAATCAGCCGGAAAACGTCTCATTCATTCTGAAGGCTCCGATCTCCGCTCTCATTCTTGCACCAACAAACTCTGATGATGACCATTACCCGCCTTCTCAGATCCCCTCTGAATCAAAATCGCAGAGCAATTAAAACCAGCATTGCTTGATGATTCTCACCTGCTCGCCACTGTCCGACTTCTTCTTCGACATGGTGAGATCATCTTTCTTGGGGTCGTCCCCAAACTTCTCTCTAAAATCGTCCTTCGTCTGACTGAGCTCTTCATCGAGCACCAGATAGCCCCTGTCATTGAGCATCTGGAGGACTGTTTTGCGCACCCTGTACAGCTTGGTCACAACTTCGTCGTCCATACCTGACGCCTAGCTGATCTGATGAAGAATCTGAAAGTGGCCCTTGAAAAAGCTGACCGCGCAGATTCAGACAGAAACTCAATGCTCCTAGAGTCTAGACAATGTGGGCTACAGGTAACTAAGAGTAATACCAAGGACACCGCAGGCTATTCTTTCTGGTTCTAGTTGTGGTGGCGTTTTGTTGCGCTGGACGGAGGACATCCTTGTCTCGATTTGACCTTCCTCCTCGAAATTGAATTGCAATTTGCAGGAAAATGGACCCAGGCTTGTCACAGAGGGAAGCTCATAGAATTCTCGACGCAGCAAGAACGAAGAATACCGGCTATTGGGGCGTTTGCAAACCGTCAGTTCAGTGCCGCCCTGATAGCCCAAATTTCAAAGCCGGTTCTTCGGAGATCGTCCCGGACGGCAGTTCAGAGCTTCACTCGTCGAAGGCAAAACCGCCCTCGATTTGGCATCTGTCTTCAGCATGCTGTCGGGGAACTTTCTATTCAGCACAACTTGAACGACCAGGGCTTCTTCAAGTGCTCGAGGAAGGCGCCTCGATCCCGCAGCTTTGTGAGCTCCCCGACACCAGGTGTCCCTCCCTGCAAGAGGAAAGTTGTTTGGTCCTCCCAAGGCAGTCCTAACCACAAACCGGGTTTAGGATTTTAGGTGGAAGTGAAGTGGTCAGAGGAAGAGGAGTCGGAGTACGGGAATTGGCGAAGAAGAGGACGACTTGGAGAAGCAGGAAGCTCAAAAGAAGGAGGTGAGAGCGCTTGGTTGGGTCAAAATTCAGCTCCTTGCTTTGATTGGATCATCTGCCTGCTGATCTGCTTGCATTGAGGTGTTCCACTAACAAGCAGACGGTATGTACAGATCCATTTGAATTAGGTAGTTCTGAGATCTGGAATTGCATGTCTTTTGGATCTGAGAACTACGTTTGTGAAAATCCAGCGGTATACCCAGCGTGGTTGCAAAGCCTTCGTGTTTGATACTTATAAAGCTTTTCGTAATGCCCCTTTATTCGTGGTTCCCCTGTGGATGATCCCCCATGGATGATCCCTCATTGCAAATGTGCATCATGTGAGTCTCTGCTTAGCTGATGAATTCATTCTCAGTCAACCTATCCATCAAGATCTGTTGCGGTTCTCGCCTGCTGTTGCTTTCCTTCTAAAGTCGGATAAAGTTCACAGTATGATCCGCATAGACAACCCTAAGATGATGACATCGTAGGTTCAGCAGTATATGGTAGATATCAATTCACTGCTGTTATTTTGAATGTCTCATGAACTCGAGGAGGTGTGTTAAATGTTTCCACAAAAACCAGGTTTGAAGCACGGCTGTTTGAGAACCCTAGACCCACCGTTCAGCACCTGACTTGTTTTTATTGCATCAAGAAATCAATCAGCAGATGACATGCTCCAATTGTGCTGCGAACTTGCTCTGGCTGGTATAATCTGACAGCGTCCTTTCTGCAGGCCTTGATCTTAGTGCTTGTGTCGAAATCCCAGTTCATTCAACCTGCAGTCATGGAGGTTGGTCATGCGAAGCCTGCCGACATTGTACCGCCTAGTCCAACTGCGTCAGGTGAACTGTCCAGTGAGCCTTCGCCGTCTGTTAAGGGGATGGGGGAGGCCTCCCCTGATTCTGCAGTAACAGAATTGAAGTCGAGAATGAAGCGGCAAGAGCGGAAGCATCTTGAGGTGAGACCTTACTCTGCTTCAAGTGCAATTAAAGCAAGATTCGTGAGATTGTCGCAGTCTGATCAAAAGGGATCACAGTAATCAATGGATGCTGCATGTTAGGGAACCTGCGAATTCTTAGTAATGGATCTCGTTAAATGACTTCTGCTAGATCTTTGAAATAGAACCTATCAATCTGTTGAAGAATCAACCCGAGTTTTGTCACGTCCATGTGATGTCTTTTTTGAAGCTCTGGGTAGCTTTGGAAGTTCTTTCTTTTCTTGGCAAGCGCTCGGACAATAGGGTCCCAAGCTCAGAGAGTTGCTCTGAAACGTGCGGCTGTCTCAAAGCCCTTTCCAAATGAAAGCAAATGCAAGAGGATGAAACTCACACATTTTCAATTTTCTTTCCCTCCTGCCAGGCGCTCAAAAAGTTGGACGAGCAGTGGCGCGCCCAAGCGGAGCGCCGCGCGCAGGAGCAGAGCGCGGCCTTTGAGCAGGTCGTGAAACGCGCAGAGGAAGTGGTAAGTCAGGCTCAGGCTCGCGCAAGAGCAAAAGAAGCGTCGATGGCTGCAGAGATCAAGTCTCTGCAAGAGATGCTGGCCGGGGGGCCGGAGACACCCAGGAACTCGGACCCCCATGCGCGGGGGAATCCGTTGTTTCGTCGGACGTCCGAGAGTCCGCCTGAGGGGGGTGCGGTGGATGCTTCCGAGGGGGGTGGTGCGAAAAAGGAGGATGAGGGGGGGGTGAAACTAGAGGCGCAAGTTCCGGAGCACGTGCCGTTTTCAGATGTCCGAGAGCGGCTCAATTCGGCAGAGTCGAGGACTTTGGAACTGGCCGCGAAACTTGCGGATGCAGAGAGCCTTGCGGGTGTGCTGAGAGGCAAGGCGGATGAGGGGGAACGGAAGGCGAAAGTGGCGGAAGAGAGGGTTGAGGGTTTGCATAAGGAGCTGCATCTGGCTGGAGAGAAGTTGCAGGCCTCGGAGGAGAAAGCCAAAACTTTGGAGAAGGAGGCAACAGCGGCGAAAGGGGCGCAGAGTAAACTTGTGGAAGTGGACAAGAAGCTTGGGGTGAGTGAAGGGAAGGTCAAAGACCTCGAGGCGAAGCTAAAGAAAGCAGAGGGGGATGCAAAGAGGGCAGAGGCGGCCGAAAAGAAAGCGAAGACTGCGGATGAGAAGGTGGGCAGTCTGGAGAAAGAGAAGAAGTCGCAGGAAGAGAGCCTGAAGGCGAAAGATCAGAAGGTAGCGGCGCTCGAGAAGGACTTGGCTGCAGTCAAAGCGAAGCTTAAGGACGCCGAGGGGAAGGGTAAACAGTTGGAGGGTCTGAAAGCACTGGAAGGAAAGGCACTGGCGTTGGAAAAGGAGCTTGCGGGGGCAAAGGAGAAGGCGAAAGTTGCGGAGGAGAAGGAGAAGAAACTAGAAGGAAGGGTGAAGGCCCTTGAGGGGGAGCTTGCGAGCGGAAAGGGAAAGATTACCGCTGCCGAGGAGAAGGAGAAGAAACTAGAGGGGAGGGTAAAGTCGCTCGAGGGGGAGGCGAGGGAAGCCAAGGAGGTAGTGAAGAAGGCAGAGTCAGAGGCTGCGCAGACAAAGACTGAGCTGAAGGAGGCTCACCAGACATTGCAAAGCAAGAACGGAACTGATGCGGAGTCGCTGAAAAGCGAACTGAAAGCGGCAGTTGAGAAGGTGCGGGTTCTGGAGGGCAAGCTGTCGGCGGCTGAAAAGGAGTCGGCCGAGCTTCGGACACAGTTGGCCGCTTCCGAAAAGGGCACGGCCAACGGGTCCGCGCCGTCCGAGCTTGAGACTGTTCAACAGCAGGTGGACGCTGCGAAAGAGCGGAACACAGCTCTGCAGAAGAGTCTTGACGATGCGCACGGGAGCGTAGAAGCGCTGAAGAAAGAGTTGGGGGCTGAAAGGGAGCGGGTTAAGGTCATGGAAACCAGGGTTAAGGATGGAGAGGGGGCGGGGTTGAGGTTGAAAGAAGCGGAGAGGCAGCTGGCAGAAAGTAAGGAGCGGGCCGTGAAGACCACTGAGGAAGTTACGAAGCTGAGGTGAGCAGGGCTCTATCCGTTTACCACAATCGAGTCGTCATTATAGAACCACCTGCGGTTAATCGACATCCTCCATACAAAACGCATGCTAAGTAGCTAAATTGGGCTCCATTCAATAGAGTAGTCATCACTGTCGCAATTGACCGGACAATTAGAGATTAAAGGGTAACCAGCACGAAGGGCTTGCAAATCTCAGCGAGTGAGCTTTGCACGACATTGCTCAATGGTCAAGCTGATTACATCCGTTCCTTCAAGAATCATAAGATTTTGAACTGATACTTTGCGACACCCAGAGCTTTGCGCCCCTTTCATTGAGCCGTCTCTGCTTCTCAAACCGGTCTGGTATTGCCACAACACGTCTCAGAGCTCTTTCAAGGCTAGAGAAGAATAGCAGGGGACAGTTTTTGTTCCCGACCCCGTTGACGCCTTCTGCGGGGGGGACAGCTTACGTGTCTGCTGGCCGTATCCCAAAACATTGTGCAGGAAAGACAAGTAGCGGCAGACGAATGCGAGCACCTGTGGTTGTCGCACATTCATACCTGCCAGACCGATATCAACATCACAAACGAAGCCAAGATCTGAATTCTTCGTTGGATCTGTTTCTCCAGGCAATGGTCAGAGAACATTGAGGCGAGCCTGGAGGCCCTTCAGCGGGAGAAGATGGAGCAAGAAACCCAACTGTCCGAGGCGCTGCGCGACTCGGAGCGCCTGCGGGTGGCCCTGACGGGGGAGCGCTCGGCGCTGGCGGCGCAGAGGAGCCAGCGGGAGTCTGACGTGGCAATACTAGTTCGGCAGGTGGGTTGTTCTTGCAAACCGTTACACTAAATATCTCTGTAGGTCCTGTTTGCTGCAGAGAGAAAGTGGATTGGAGCATAGAAATGAAGGCCCTTACATGTTGACAACCCAAGCTGGCTTCGGTTGTCTCAGATCCTGGTTCCGAAAGAGCCTTTTGCCATGGGTATTAGTTGCTTGCTTTTCCAAACAGGGTGACTGACTGAATTCGTTACCTAGGACAGTCTGTTCGCGAAAGTCGCTGTGCCTCTACACAAGTGGAACTCACATAAGTGATTGCAGCAAGTAGACTGACCGAATTTGACGTGGCAATCCTGGTGCGCCAGGTGGCGGGCCTGCAGCAGCAGCTGCAACACGCCGAGGACGTCAGGAACCAGGCGCTGAGGTCAGCAGAGGAGCATGAACAGCGGGAGGAGCATGCCAGACGGGAGGTAGGGGTTGCGACTATCTCAAAAGCGGCTTCCATGTCTTTCCTGAGATAGTGCTTTGTTGCTTTCCCGCTTTTCATCCGCTGTCCAATATGTTTCTAACAGATCCAAATCAGCAGCAAGCTTTCTGTGTGCAGATTGTCAATTGAATATCATGAAACCTCCTGAGCAGTGTAAATCGTGATGGTTTATTGCTTTCTGTGTCTAGTTGTTTCTCTCCCTGTGAGGAGCATTTAGCTGGGCTGGTTGGCCCGGTCTCGAGTCTCTCTGACGTACCAGGTTCGAGGACTTCCCTGTCATTTGAGGTTTGAAAATTCCATTCCCCTTATATCTACCTGCTCTTCTATCTTGCCCCCTTACTTGCTTCGATTTCCAAAGTTTCCAATCCAAATGGTGCGTACGCTCCCGCAGAGGGACGATCTGAAGCAGCAGCTTGCCAGCCTGTTCAACGCTGAAGACTCGACCAAATTAAACCCCCTGACTCTGAGATTTGCCTAACCCAGTCAAATTAGCCTTCTGTCTTAAGGAAGTATCACTGCCCACTACTGCAGGTGGACGATCTGAAGCAGCAGATTGCCGGCCCTATCACGCTCCAATCATCCTCAAACCTTCTGATCTTGAATCCGGCCTGACCCAGCCAGGTTAGCCTCACATTTACAGACCCAGGTTAACCCACTTTCTGACCCTGCAGGTGGACGATCTGAAGCAGCAGGTTGCCAGCCTGATGAGCGCCAAAAAGTCGTTCCGGGAAGTGACACTCGAGGGGGAGATTGCGCAGCTCAAGGGGCGCGCGGAGGACGCAGCGGTGTGGCGGTCGCGCCTGGCCGAGGCCGAGCGGCGCTTACAGGATGCGGAATACAGGGAACAGAAGCATGTAAGTTCCTCACGCTTTTGTTGGTTAGTCAACCTTCACCTCCGGAAATCCCTCGTCTTTGTATGGTTGCCATGCTGTTTATTTGTAGTTGAGTACATCAAGCCAGATGAAATGTTGTCACAATGGGGCAGTCGAGCTTGGCTGAATCAATCGGCGCTTACAGGATGCGGACTACAGGGAATAGAAGCACGTGAGTTGGTCTGCAGCGGTCCTGTTGCTTGGACGACTTCAAACTCCTGAGATGCCTTGTCTTGGACAAATCGTCGGAACTCTGTTGTTTCGTTGTTGAGGTACACGAATCAAAAAGAAGTTGTGCCATTGTTGTTTTCACGCTCGGCGTCCCTCTTTTCCCTTTGGCCGTTGAAATGAAATACCATGTGCATCTTTCCTGGGCGTCCGTCATTTCACGTCAGGGATTAAGTACGGAAGTTCTTCAGCTTCCCTCTTCAGCTTCACTGACGGCTAGAGTGGCGACTTTCACTTGTCCCCATGAGTTACCACATTCCAGCCGTTTGCTTCTGCATTTCGATGCATGCCTTCTCCATGGGCATCCTGCTAAATGGTGATGTTGATTGAAAATCGGATTTTTTAAACTCTCTTGTCGGAAGTTGAGTACCATCAAGGTATAGCTGGTGGACAAAAGAGCGAGTCTTTTCAGAGGCTTCTTGTGCCCAGTTCCAGCTGTTCGTTCTTCTGCTTTCTCCACCCAAGAGACCATTTCAAAAAAAAAAAAGGTCAACACGTGTCCTTTACCCGTTTTTGTTGCAGCTGTCTGCACTCGCTGCTGAGGAGGAGAAGGTTGCACGGGCACAGGCGACGATCCAGGCGCTTGAGCAGCAGCGCGAGGCTTCCGAAAAGGTGAAGTCTGCTCTCGCGGCTAAAAGTGGTCTGGTGATTCCCTGCCAAATCGGATTTGGCTACGTAATAGTTTCCTCTTCAAATGAAACGTCGAAGCGTGCCTGAAGTGATACTCGTACCTGTGATCAAAGAGCTGCCAGAAGGGCCCTGGATGCAATCAAGCACCAGCTGCCTGCGGGTGGATTGCCCTTTATTGCGTCTGCATTTGCTGTTCGTCACACCCATCTTGTCTGTCGTAAGAGGGCAGAATTTTCGTCTTTTGGTCGAGGATGACCTTTTGGAATGGTCCGGAAAGTCCTCAAGGCACCTTCCCTCTGTTTTTTCAGCCGTTCTATGACAAGTCTGATAACCAGCGCTAGGATTGCAAAGGATTCCTTTGCTAAGATTCACGAGGTCGCCCGTTTCTCTGCAGGGCGAAGGGGAGTTAGAGGCGACCATCATCGACGTCACGGAGCGTGTCCAAGCTGCAGAGGAGCAGGCGGCGGAGGCTGCTAAGAGAGCTGAAGAGCTCCAGGTTAGTTTCTGTCTTTGGTTGGGAAATAGATGATTACGGAGGACGTGTGCTTCATGAAGCTGCATTAGCCTCGCGTTGGTGCCTTCAAGTTTTTTGGTGGTTACGGAATGAAAGATTGTCGCATGGACAGGGGATCTAAGAAATGTCAAGGCATTGGGTCCCTTTCGCAGCCCTGACAAGAATTGACCTTGGTTATCGGAGACCCACTGACAGTCGCGCTGGTAAAGCTCGTCAAGTGCAATTGTGAAAAGACTTGAGTGATATTGGTAAGGATGATCGTCAATCTCAGAAGCCTTTCGTTCTTTTCAGGTCGTATTCGTGCACCAAAAAGGAAGCGGTCAAGTGCTTGCTGTTCGTTGCTTGGATCAAAGTTTTGAAACCGGTCTCCTTCTTTGCAGGACGCTCTTCAAGCTCCGGATACGCACCTTGCCGCCAAGATTGGCATGCTTGCTGTTCCTTTCTTGGAATCTTCTCTGAAACCGGTCTCCTTCTCCGCAGGACGCTCTCCAAGCTTTGGACGCGCAGCTTGCTGCCAAGGAGACGCAGCTGACGACCAAGGAGGCGTCCCACAAGGAGGCGTCGAGGGCGCTCAAGAAGGCAATTGACGAGCACGCTCGGGTGGTGAGTCGCTCCTCTAGTTACTTCTTCCCTCGTCGTCTTACCTGGGGCTTTGTGAGGGAGGGTGGTGCTCGCGATTGAACTGATTGAATTGCTGATCCGCGACCCCTTTCGCAAGGTAGGTTTATGAATATTCTTCCAAACTTTCGCAGATCCGGGTAGGACGCATGGGTTCCTCTTTCGCAGCTTTTGTATATTAAAATCTAACGCCTCGTATACTCCGCATACCTTTGAGTGGTCAACGAAATGAGGGTTGGATAGATAGGTCAAACAAATTTCCCTCTCTTTGTTTGCAGGCCTCTCAGCTGGAGGAAGTCACGGAGAAGCTCCGCGCCGCCACCGAGGCTGCATCCGGCGACCACTCCGAGAAACCAGGAAACATGTCCGAAACCTCGTCCGCTTCGACCGTCCAATCCCTCAAATCCGCAAACCCCTCCAAGGGCAGTCCCAAGCTCCGTAAGCGGAGCCAGCAGGGGAAGGACAAGAAAACCAGGGCGGGGGCGGAAATCGACGACTGGGAACTTTTGGCGCTGGCGCAGAAGGAAAACCGGAAGGGCGAGGCGCACGCGCTGCAGCGCGTCGTGCTGTGCGGGGCGCTCTCGTGCGCGAGCTTTGCGGTTGGGGTGGCTGCCACGTGTCAGCTGGGGATGTGTTCCTGGATGCCCCTGTAAGCGAGTTGTTGTGTTGATGCCTGCCACGTGTCAGCTGGGGACGTGTTCTTGGGTAGCCAGTAAGCGAGTTGACGTGTTGCGTGTTGCTGCGTTGCCCTGGACAGGTTTAGAAGGTACTTGAGAAGAGGACTTGAAAAGACGGTCATTGACCTGTACGAGGCTGGAGAGTAATCACATTATTCCGTTCGTGTGCCTCCTCCATTGCATTGTGGCAAGATTCGGTATGACTGGTAAATCGCATATTGTCCTTCAAGCATGGCGTGCAAGGAGTTGTCCAAGCTTCGTAAGCTTCTGCTTTGCGTCGTTCGCTGTGTTCTTGTCCCAATCATATTGCAAGCGGAGTGATGATGCTTGTTAGTCCTGGTAACCAGCAAATCGACGTCGCACCGCGACCTCACAGTTCAGTCACTTGTGCATGTCCAGTTTGCACTTTGAGCATTAGTTGCCAGCGCAGAGATTGTCCTGGTCCTAACGGTCTCCTATCTTTTTCGGGCGCTATCTAGGGCCAGCATCCGAGTCTACCGAGAGGCTGTGATTATTCAGAAGGACTGGGGGTCTGACATCGCCCAGTTGTCCTGTCTCTTATTTTTAAGAGCCCAGTACTAATTTCAGGCTATGGCTTCGTGACCTTGGATGTTATCGGCGAGGTCAATCCTTTCAACATCTCGCGGCAAATGTCTTACCAAGCTAGTATGCAAGTCTCCCCGTCACTTCTCCGCAACGATATAACGCGTTTGCGGCAACAGCGGGGCGTCACTTCTTTCTGCTAAACCTCGTGTGTCAAAGCTACTTAGAAAGGAGCGCCTTTGTACGTTAACATTCCTCATGTGCTGAGCTTGTTTAAAGGTGCCCGTCGGCGTTGCATGATAGGTCCTTTGATTGTGTGAAGGATCCCTTTGATTCCAATCACGGTGAATTTGCCGATCGGACTTCGTCGGACTGACTGTCTGACAACCATCGAAGCGCACTATCTTGCTTTTGGATCGTGAAGTGTGCGAGATTGGATCGTTACTGTCCGTTGAAGTCGGCAATAGTACGTCAAGCTTACTGTTGCTGAAATTTTCAGTCAGGAATCTGCACTCAGGAATGTTCACGAGGTGAAATTGCACGATCTGGACAGAGCTTCATTCCCGTTCTACGTTTTGCTGTACTGACGTGGAGTATGAAGTTTGATGCCGCGTCGCGAGTTTCTTTGCAAAACATGGTACGTGGATATATTCGATATTTGGACTCGTCTCTTCCAGCGCCTCACTTTCTACTGGAATCTCCACGGCGCCTCAATCACTGGACCGGCCAGCCGTGGGATCTGGGTCTATCATCCTGAGCGCAACTCAAGAGACCCGGGGCCACATGTTAAGGAGTCAACCCCTTGGGCTACTGTTGTTTGCTGTCCCTGCTTCCTGCTTTGCTGTTTTCCTTCTCTGTACATTGGTTCATTTGCACGGTCTTAAGGACTTTCTCAAAAGGCCAGGATGATGGCGCCGCAGCTTGGGTACAGTCTTAACCCAAATCAAGCTCCGTTTTGACTGAGGCCAAACGTCATGTTGCGGCGGCGGCCGCCATCTGCTATGAGAACGCTCACTGGTTGTTTCTGCTCCTGCGAGAAAATCACTGAAGGTCCGGAATCTGCGTCGGCCGACTCAAGTGCTTGTTGACGCGGTGTCAACGCGGTCTTTGCAAAGTGCAACGGCCTGGAACCGAGGGGCTCTTGCGGGCACTCCACTTTTCCTTGTTTTGTCTCCCTTTTAGTATGCTACTCAGTCGTGGTTGCAGGATTCTGCTATGGTCGTTGAAGGTCAAGCATCATCGCATCGCCGCATGATACTTTGTGTACAGGTACGGTACATTGCATCAGGACAGCAACTTTTCAATGACTTGGTCTTGGTTCAGTTGTGGTTGCTGCTTTGCAAGCGCAGAGTGAAGGACAGCGTCGAGGACAGGAGAGATCACGAGCTGCTGCTTGTCAGCTAGTACGTCCTCTGCCTATTTCTCCTTTTTGGCTTGAGCATCGCGTTTTGATTCGTTCCGGATGAGTCTCGGGCTACGATTGTCAACAAACTGAGAAGGTACTTCTCAGAAAGATGTGTTTCCGGTTTGTGAGCCGAAGTGTCGTCCTGACAAAACGGACGGGAGGAGAACAGGGACTCCCGGGGGACTCCCTGGGGACCCCCTTCGACTATAAGCTCTTCGATCGACGGTCAAAATTACTAGATCAGATCAACTTGGACCGTGGATCGGAGGTCGATCGTGGAGGGTTATAGCTAGGAGGGGTTCTCAACATAGGCTCGGGAGTCCACGTTCTCCCTCCTTCCGTTCTGACAGTGTTGGACTTGCCTGATTTTCAGTCGGTCAGTAAGCAGAACGGCAGCCGATCAGCGTGATGCCATGCCGCCAGGCAGGCTCGATCCCTTAATTTCTTAGTGGTCAACTCGTGGTCACTTGCCTGTACAGATTGGAGCATGACCGGACTGGACGGTAGCGAGGTATATTAGAAGTTAACGCATGAGCAGGCTACCGCTCACCTTGTGCTGACCTGGTGCTCGGAGCCAAGCGGATGTGTGAGGGTCTGCCATGCAACATGCACCAGCTCGAGTCCTTTTCGGGTTCCGGGCGGCCGGTTTGGGCTGGCTCCGCGTTGTATTTTGCCAACAGACAGTCAAGAAAGTCTCCGTCCGACGTCAGGCCATGACGTTGATAGCATGTCGGGATGGAAGATGCCGAATCGAGATCTGGCGCTATTCTTTCTGAGGCCACTTTTAGTCTCGATCTCTTTACAGACCGGACGCAACTCATACAGGCGGCAGGTTTCCTTCTAAACCTAGGAATCAAGTCTGGTACAGTAGAGCAACCAGGTTACGAGCGCTGATTGTTTGTTGCACAGCTTTGTTCCAGCTACTTATACGCGGATTCTAGACATACCAGTTTTCAGACTTTACTTTTCCTGACCAATCCTGCATGGACGGTCAGTCGAGCGATAAAGAGATGCAATGTGCATACAACGTCCGGGGTGCCTTTTGGATAAGGCACCTCATGTATTGACCACCATTTACCAGGCTATGATTCTCGGCAAGGACTGGGGTTGATTGGCCCCAAGACTTCTCTGATATGGCAATTTGAGAGCCGTTTTGAGTTTACCAATCTCCCGAGCTGAGGTCGGTTGCCTAAGATCCAAATCGACGGTATGGTCCGAGTAGTCTTCATTCCCGATGACTCAAACGTTTTCCGAGGGTTGCCACTCCATTATTCACAACGGTTGAGCTGTAGGTGGTGTTGTGCTTCTTGCTTGTATGTCGAGGGTATTCACTGGCCAAGGAGCTTTCGTTCTGATTGGATCGGACGTTCCGCAGTACGGCCTAAGGTTGCAATTCATGAAGCTATGGGATGCCAGGCTTAATAAGAGATGCCCTTTTGCATAATTCAGACACGTGGAGGATTCCGGATGACATTTTTCCGGGGTGTTTCTAAGTAGGATCCAACTTGCTGACTGACGGTCCAGTCCAAGCGCACCACTCTCAGATTGGGTCAAAGTTCAAATTGACTGGATACTCCGGAAACCGGTTTGACTGATTTGGGAGGTTAATCAAGCGGAAAGGAGCAACATTTCCGTGCTCCACAGTCCGTCGACTTTGTTTTGCATCGACTTTGTTTTGCGGATGCGATCCGCACGATTTGGCTGCGCAGATATGGAGCAACAGGTGTAGCTGCTCTGTCAATCTCACCTTGCAAGGACGTACTTTCCGTCTGCTGCTGTAATACTTCTCATCACCCATGTGCAAGATGTGCCAGTAGACACGCACGCTGACCAGGACGGTCGTGCCAGTCGTTGGGCGATAAGAGGCTAGTTGTCAAGAGCCTTGAGGCCGCTCCTTGAAATCAAACGCTACCTGCTTTCCCGACGACAAGGTCAAGACCAGTCAGCTTTGAACAAGGTATAATAGCTTGGCAGGCTGGGGATAACCAACACCTCAACGAGTTACTTGCAGCGTCGTGATTGATGTCGTCGTGCGAACTCTATGAGAATGGTCATTCCTCCCCTCCGACTGATTTGCGGCTAATCAGAAGACCATTCAATTCTTCCGCCAAGTGCTGAATTAAGCAGCGCTGCTAAAAATGCTTGCGCGCTGCAATGGTGAGGCCCTCGAGCCGGAGGCCCTCTAGTCGTGATTGTCCAAGCTTTGCTCTTCTCTCCCAATATGCTAAGAATACAGATTGTTTCATGAGTTGCAGTTTACAATGTTGTATGAGTTAAATTTAGAGAACGGGTGCTGCTGTTTGCGTGGCACCTTGCATGTCTAATTTGCATGTAAGTTTCGCTGTCGTTCAGTCTGGGGGTTGGATTGGGTTCGAAGGCTGCTTCGTAATCGCTTGCAGAATCGAAGGCAGGCAAGTGAACACGTTGAGTATCATCAATCATTCGACTGTCCTTTTTCTTGTCTTTGCGAACACTTCGTTTTGATCTTGTCTCGAAAACTGGGAATTCGAGGCGATGATGCCTAACGAACTGGGATGGTGCTTCTCAGCGGTAGTTCCTTCTCCAGCTTGAGCCGAAGAGTGAATGTCACTGTCGACTGTCTTGGGCCTTGGAGGGGTTGTTTGTGAACCAATTGCCTCAGAAACCACGTTCTAAAGCAGTCGGTGTCTTTTTTCAGCCATAAGTACCGCATGATTCGTGAGTTGCAGTCACGAAGTGAGGGTGCTTTGGCAGGGTATTAATAAACGAGTCAACGAGCGAGGGGCAACCGCATTATTGATGAATTGGCCCAGTGCTGGATACTGCAACAGGTATGTAAGACCTCTATTGCAACGCAACTGCTCGATTTTCTAATTTGGGTTTTGCTCAAGCTGTTCTTGACAAGACAGGGAAGACAAGATTTCTGACGAGCGGTCAATCGTTGGCCGGTTCGAAGGCCGGTCACGTTAACTTCATCGTTTTAAGTGTGAGACCAGTTTTCTGTTTGTCAAGATGTACCCTCTAAAAAGGCAGGATACGGCCGTGCTGGATGCTGGATAGAGTCTTGGTTGTGACTTTTTCCTGCCACACTCTTCCGGGGCTGGTGGGCATATCTCGTTTCGAGTTTAAATGTCTGTACGTTTCAAAAGGTAAAGGCAATGACTTAGGCGACGAGTGGAGCCGATTGTACTTAGGATCGGATCACCCACTAAGGCCTCTCGCGGAATGACGCCAGGAATATTGACACTCTCCAATAGGTGGTGGCTAAAATGAACCCATAGAACGTCTCTTGGTGTTGTCAAGTGGGCCGCTTCTCGATTTTTGC